TTGAGCCATAACCACAAGTGTAAAGAAAGGAATGTGTTTACATTAGACCATAAATCATTGAGAATCTCATGTTGAAGAAGAGCAGCAAATGAATTCAAGGAGTCAAACATATGGACTTATTTACATCTTTATGTTATTACAAACACAATGACTTTTCCAACAGGAACAATTAGGCAGCATCATTAGGAGTACAATGACTTTACCAATAGAAAAAAAAATGATGAATTGATATACATGTGCCAATTGATCTTGCTTCATACAAAAATGATTTGGAGTTCAAAATTAAATAACTACTTTCCCTTCCGTCTCTAACATGTGTTTCTTTTAATAACAACATCTGGCAAACACTTTAAGATTCCTTTTCATTTCCACTCATTCATGCTTTATTCTGTGTAATGGTAATGGCAATTGGTAAAATTAGCTGTTTTTATACAGGAAACATACAACATTTGTTGACCAAACAACTATTGTTACCGTCAGTTGAAATTTATAAGATCTTTTTCTTAAAACAGTTTTCAGGAAATTAGACTCTTCAAGTCCACTAAATGTTATCACTCTTTCTAGTATTGATGGAAGTTCTGCTTTGAGTAATGTGGAAAGTGAACATCTTGATTATATCATTATTTTTTTCTTCTAGTTACATGTTCTACCCATTTTTATTGCTGTTAGAAGTCTTCAAATGATACAATTTTTGTTAAACCTCTTTGTGGATTTTGTAGCACCAATTTTATAGGGTCTGATCAAGGATTGTAAGCTATAAGAATGACATGTCATGTTTTTGGTCTTAATTTGATATGATGGTCACTATTAATTTTTTTGAAATTGAAGAAATAATGTTAAAGTTAATACAATACAATCAAAAAGATTAAAAGTGTGAGAATTGCTCCAAAGTTTAACAATACAAAGATGACAATAATATCTTCCTTATTAAAATCTTTTGATGAATACTAATGCTGCTTACTATTTTATAATTGGCTCAAGAAATATATGTTATAAAATAAAATAAGACATATCTCAGCTGATTTACAGGCAAATACTCAAGAGCGAGAACCGGATGTAAAACGGGACAAAGCCCCGTCACAAAATGACCATTATCTTTCTTCACAAATGTTCCCGACACACGTGTTCTGGTCGAAAAATAAAATAATATTTAAAGTGCTCTATTTTTCGTCCAATAAAAATGCTTCCCTCCTAATTATACTCGCTTCGTTTTTCGAGCCTGTTAAGCCATAAAAAAACACTATAAAAGGGGTCACACGGAAATTCAATGGCAGTCCACAGATGGCCGCAAACAGACTGTCACGGTCAGGCCGAGCGATCAGCAGCAGGAGAGCATCAACCACCGTCAACATGTGTGAACTACTATGAGAGATCGACCTAGATCTGAAACCGGCTTATGAACTTTATCACAAGGTAGCTGTCCCAAACCCACACGTTCCTGTTGAAATAAACCACGTAAATCTATTTCTGCTGTTGTCGTATTTCCTTCTTGCAACCATACGCTTGTCTATAACATATATATCTCTGCAATAAAAGTACTTGAATGGGATATATAAAAAAAGCATTTATTCCCATAATCAAAAATTTTGTGTCACTATAATTTTGGCCATAGAGTCACCAGCACTCAATGATTCATGAGAAAATACTGAATTAGTTTCATTCATAACAACTGTCAACTTTGACTTAATATTATTCATAATAGCAGATGACTTAATTTCATTCATAAAAACTGTTGACTTAGTTTCTTTCATAAAAACAGTGAACTTTAACTTAGGCTTGTTCATAAAAACTCAATATTAATACTCTCACTAAAACTGACATTCTCCAATTTCAACATCTTCTATCCTATATTTTTTATTCATAACTTTTTGGGATTTAATTATGATCCTCATAAAATTTTTTATTTAAAATATATATGAACCAAAATTGTAGATACTCTAGTCAGGCTAACATTCATGCAAACTTATCTGAGATAAATAAAGAGTCTTTTTTTTTTAATATTAGTGTTGGCAGCTTTTTATTTCTTTTGTCAATAAATGTATACATAAACACACATAAAATATACAGAGTCACATTAATGCATATGAACAAAGTGACACTTGGACTGAACTCTCAAGTTAAAATCAACTTGACAAGGAATTTAAAATTGTCATAAATAGTAAGGTGAATGATGGCTAGAAGATTGTTTGGAAGGTTATTAATTTGAAAGGTGTTCTAAAAACCTTCTTCAGTCCTTAAAATGATAATGACCAGCACCACTAAAGATAAAGATTAGTTGCCCCAAGTGATTTCAGAGAGAAAAGCAGCTTTGAATTGGTCAGTGAATCCCCTGAAAAGAGACTTAGAAGATTTAGTGAAAATCATGACTGTCTAATAGTGTCAATCATGAAATAGGAATCTTTTTAGTGCAAGGCACTTCTTCAACAAAGAAGGTTTTATTAATTCTTCTTCTCTATGTCATGTCCCTTCAGTATGTGAGTGATCATGGCTCTCCACAACTTTCTATCCTTTGTACTTCTTAATAAATTTTATCTTTTTGTTATCTTTCCTAAACCATGTTCTGCAATACATTTAATCAATCTCACTAGGTATGTTATGCATTTTCCTCTGCCTCTCTTTCTTTCAATCAGTCTGGTGGGTATCAAATTTTCCAAGCCCTCTTTCCTCAGTATGTGCCCTAGAAATTTTAATTGCCTCTTCCTGATGTTAAGTATAAGTGTATTTTTTGTATCCATTTAAGAAACTTAAATACTGTAAAATACTTCATTGTGGATCACTTTCCATTAGCTGTTTGAACAGATGGGCATGAATAAAATAACATGCACAGCACACATTCACTCTCTTCTTTTGCTTTTTACCCACGAGATGCTGTAGGGACATAGCAAACTATATATTACATACAATTGAATAAAGTCTTGCACTTTAACAATTCATAATACTACAACAAACTGACAAAATGCTACATGCAAAACAGTACATTTATTATTTGCATAAATATACATCACCAAATAAGATCCCTCTTCAACAACTATCAATCTGGTTATAAGAGCATCTATCATTATGATAGAAATTTTATCAGAGAAATGTTCCTTGCTATTCTTCTAGATCCACCAAAACCTGACTGACAGCAGGCAATTTTAAAATCATGTTCTGGCTAAGGTGATCAATGGATATGAATACAATTAAGAATAATTGGTGTCTTATATAATAAAACTAATGGACAGGAAATTCTCTGTCTATATTTCTGAGATGAGTATTGTAACTATTTACACTATTTAGATTATTTGGACTCACCTTTATTGCCATATTCAAGGACACATGGCTCAGTGGATAAAAGCATTGGTTAAAGTAATCCAGTGACTTGACCCAAACAGTTGTGAGTTCAATACCAAGCCACAGCAGAGGTGAACAAAAAACTTGGAGAGGTGAGGTACTAAAGGGAAATAACTCATAAAAGGCATGGCATGTAGAATGAGAACAATCTACCCCCAGTGAACAAAATAAAATAAAGGGTTTGGTTTGAAATTCCAACATATATCACCTGAAGAAGACTGGAATGTACAATGGCTGAAACGTTGTGAATATTGCAATAAAGATGAGGATAAGAGTCCAAACAACGTAAACAGTGTAAATAGGTAATTCTCTAAAAAGTATAGTTTGCACTATGCCATCCCAGAACAGTGGTGTTCTCTACCTGTGGATTCTCTGCGAGATTTGATTGATTCAATGACTGCCAGCAGAGAACAACTGGATATGGCTAATATGGCTAAATAATATCAAATATTAATCTACTGTATCTTATACTTATTGCAAATGTGACCCGCCATGTTATGTTCACAAAGTCAAATCACCATCATTTCCTTTTAATTTTTAATGAGGAAATTCTACTCAGACAGCTTCCCCCTGTTGACCATGTTCACCATAATCTATGAATATATAATACAGCGCAGTATGTAATCTGTTCAATGAAACAACGTTAAAGATTAACACTCACAAGTCAGACACTCTATTGAATTTGACTATATCGCCAATACCACCAGCAGCTGTTCCATAATTTTTCAGTCTTCAATATCCAAGGCTGGCCGTGAGTATTAAAAAAAAAACATGGCCGCCTTTATACATGTCTCATTGAATATTTTGAGCCTTTTGATTAGTTAACCCTTCTATTGGTGAACTATAAAATGAGTCAGCTCATTTTGGCTGGCTCACTAGTACACCAAGGTACCCAAAAATTCCAACAACACCCCCCCTGAGAACTGCTACTTTGTGGAACAGAATCCTGTGTGAATGCTTCCCTGAATACTACAATCATAACCTCTTCAAATTTGTTTTTTTTTAATTATTTCATCCCATGCAAGGCAAGAATGCCACTAATATGCAGGAGGTTACAGAGAGTGAAAATGAAAGAAAAGAATAAGTATAGAGAGGTTGAGGAAAGGACAAAAGATGAACAGGATTCAAGAAGATAGATGGCAATTGATGTTGCATTTAAATTTTTGAAGGTTGTAGTTTTCAGGGAAGCAAGTAAACAGAGGGGAATTCCACAGGTGGGAAGTACGAGAAAAAACATTCATTATCTAAAGGAGGACAGATAACAAATGGCCCTTGACTCATAATTTTCACTTTCTATCACCACCTATTACATTAATATCCTACACCTCTACCTTGAAGCGTCCTCAAGACCAGTATTGGGTGAATTTTATTAATAAGGGAAAAAAAGCTGAAAGTTAATGTTGTCTTCTTGGCTCATTTTTATGCATATCTTGAGAGCTACAAATATAAAATAGGTTCATAAAATACATTTACTAAATTTAATTAATATTAAAAAGATATGAAAAGAAAATCCCCACAAAAAGAAGGAGAATCGTTTATGCACCATTTCTGTTTCCTTAGAAAAATTAGTATCTTACCCCTGAAAAAATTGTTAAGAAAAGCAGTTTTTCTTCTTGCCCAAAAGCAATATTAAAAGCAGCTAGTAAAAATTAAAGACTTATTTTTACCTTACAATTTTGTCTGACATCTCCTTCACCTGGGGAAACATTGAAGTGAATTCTCGTAATAGGTCCTCAGGGGTTGGACAGGTGGCATAGAGGGCCTCCTTGGTTTCCTGCATGCTGCTGGGGTGGTCAGGGCAGAGACGAAGGAGAATATTACAGCTCCACATGACCATTTGCAGGTGAAGATTGTTCACCTGTTGAAAAGGAAAATAAAATGTAAGATTACTGGGGAGAATAGAAAATAAGAAGAGATGCCTAATGGTAGGTCCCCTAGAATATTCTTCTAGGCAAATTCTTGTCTTTAATTGATATTGAAATGTAAAATTTTCAAGGAATGTTTTGCATTTGTAGAATTGAAAAGAGGAAGAAAAAGAGAAAGAAAGAAAAAGGTGGGAGTGAGAGAACAAACGAAGGAAACAAAGAGAAAAATGGAAGTTTATTTTTTTAAAAATAAGAGTGAAAAAAAGAAAGAAATTGAAGGAAAAGGATATAGCAGCAGAGAAGAGACAGATTTATATCGTTCTCAAGTCTATTTGTGCATAAGTGAATGTAACAAACTTGACAGGAATTTGAACTTGGTTCTCCAATCTCTCATTTCAAGCCACTATCCATTACACCATTGGACATACACAAAGAAAAAAAAGGAAATATACATACATTTTCTATTAATTTGGCATCTTGACTATCAATGATATTTGATATGACAGTGAACCAATGTTCTCCGGCATGCATTACATCAAACACAGACACCCTAAAAAAAGAAATAGATTTAATTTATGGAAGAAAAATGATGAAATTTGTTATATGATTAGAAATTGAATTAAAAAAAGGTAAATTTTAAATTATTTTTTGAGATGTTTTGTTATATATATAACAATTTAAATACGCCATTTACATCATTAACCTTTGCATTAGTTTTTGTGTGAATAATTCATGTATTTGTAAATTGATTGCACGTTTATCGTAATTTAAATAACTGATCCAAGTGCGACTTTTGGATAATAAGTGCGACATTACTGTAATTATTGAACAATATAGTTCATGCCACTTTGACAGAAAAATTTACCAGTAAAAAAATTTGTTCATCACCATATTTTATATGAACGCACAACCTTTAAAAATTTAAAATCAAACTCAGCGTTGCTTTTATGCCGCTCAAAACAATAACTCATTTTCAATAGCATTTTCGGATACAACAAATACATATATTTTCGCTGTCCTCTTATTACTAAGAGAAAAACAAGAACAACATCTATTCTATACCTGAAGATGTCTGTAGGAACAGACGAAAGCTTGTAGTAAAATAAGAACTAATACGGCAGAAATTTATATAAACAAGGATCATTTCATTCATAACGGATACGGAGGTTTTTGTATATTATTTGAATTGTTTATGATGATGGATGTCTCGCCATTTAAATCATTAACCTTTGCATTAGTTTTTGTGTGAATAATTCTATGTATATATATATATATATATATATATATATATATATATATGTGTGTGTGTGTGTGTGTGTGTGTGTGTGTGTATGCATGTGTAAAATTTCAGATAGAATATATCTGTAAAAATTTAAGCTTTTATTTTGTTTATATATATATATATATATATATATAATACAAAAAGCGTTAAAACAAAACAGAAGTGTCAAAACAAAATTGCAACTTTTGTAGTGATCTTATAACATGCATATGATATAAATTAGAATATATATATATATATATATATATATATATATATATAAGTTCTCATATCTGTAGAAAAGACAAACTGAATAAAGACAATAGGAAAACAATACTTAGTTTTTGTTAATGTGTTCAGTAAAGTCATATGATGAATCACATCGGCAAAAACTAAGTACTGTTTTCTTATTGTCTGTTTTATTTATATATATACTAGCAGCATGACCCGGCATTGACTGTGCTTGATTCAAAAATCGTACTACTCATACAGCAATCGCTATCACTTGACTTAAAATATTTTTGCCCTTCCTTGCCTTTAAAGGAGTGTCCTTTGCTGTGCTGATGTTGTTACGTTCCTTACTTCTTGCTTATCTGCAAATTTTTTCTAAGCTCTATACTAAACATTAAATCTGTTACGAAAAAAGAACTAAACAAAATGAACACAAAACAATCAGCTTTAAAAAAAGGACTCATAACTGAAAACCAAATGAAAAAAAGAATTTAACAACAAATACTTTTTCACACCCAACCCAGTTCTGCGGAATCAGAATCAATGTTGAGTTTAAGCAAGTTTAATGAGCCAATTGGAGTAAAGTGCCATGCAGATTTAAATTTTTCCCACTTGTGACGAATGTAGCTATCGATTTTTTTTGCATGCTAGCATGCTAGTTAACATTTGTGTCAGCCAGCTGTTGGTGCTCACACTGGCAAATAGAATCTTCCTGCCTATTCGTGGCAGCCAGCTATTGGCTCTCACTCTGGCCAGTAGAAAATGGCCGCAAACTACATGAAAACTGCCGTAGAAGCATGAAAAAATTGATTATTTCCACTATCGATGGGAGTTGGGAAATGCAAAGTCAATCTTAGCCTTCCCACTAACTTAGAGCATGTGCATGTAAATTTTGGTGCAAATCCATCGAAAATTGCGGCCATGCATTAGTTACACACACACACACACACACACATCCTGCCTTTTATATATATATATATATATATATATATATATATATATACCATATTCATTCAGCTCCTCAGATTCCTTCTCTTATCTATGAATTGATATGACTTATTAGAAAAGATAATGGAGTGCTTGCCTGTTGCTTTTTCCGTGGTTTTGAAATAAGAGTAGTCCTTCTGGTTGTCACCCAAGGTCATAGAGCCCAGTCTACCCTTCGAATGATCAGACAGTTCACCTGCATTCTTAAAAACAGGAACTACAGAAGAACATTCCCAACAAGCTGGAAAGCCTGAGGCAGCACAGCATTTGTTGTTGTAGAGTTTAGAGAGATTATTGGTTTTGAATGCTATTTGAATTTTGAGAAACTATTTTCATTATTAAGTGTTGACTAGATTTTTCATCTTGCTATTGCTTTTTTTTTTCGTGGGCCTGGAGGTGGTGGCTTGAATTCCTATGCAACCAGGTCAAAATTTTTAGAAGTTTTTATGGTTTCTTTTTTCTTGCCAAAATTAGCAGAAGAAGAGTACTGTATTTGATGGCATATAAGACGCACGCCAATTCAACAGGACAAGAAAAAATTAGTAATTAGTAAAATTAGTAAACCTACATATAGCATATAAGATGCAGGGGAATTTTAAAAGATATTTTAGTAAAAAAAAAAGTGTGCCTTATATGCCATCAAATATGGTAAGTAAAATCACAAAAGTATAAAATTAAAAAATTGAAACCAAATAAAATATCTCTAAAGCATCAAAACTTAGCAGATTGAGTTAACAGATGAAGAGGAGACTTGAGGCAACAGAAATGTAATTCTACAGAAGGATGCAGAGAATACCATCGTGGAACATGTGAGCAACCACAAAGTTTTATAGAAAATAGAAACAAAAAGGACATTTATACATCAGAAAGAGAGAGTTGAAATTTCTAGGGCAAATAATGGAGAAAGAGAGCTTGGAAAATTTGATACTTACATGTCATATTGAAGGCACAGGGGAAAACATCACATGACCTACCTAACAAGCTTGTGTAAACAGTTGGCAAAATAGGGATTAGGAGATATAGCAAAAAGAAAAACTTTACTAAGGGTTACAAAAGACAGGAAATTGTGGAGAGCCATGACCGCCTGTGTCCTGAAGGGACATGCCAAATAGAAGAAAATTGTTTTTTATCAATATTCCTCCAACTATGAAAGTGTCATGACAAATCCGATGTTATACAGAGAATTCAATTGAGAACATTGCAATAAAATGCAACAATAAGATGAAGAAAACTTGTAAAAATTAATAAGCATTTAATCTAATAATAACAAACTAAATCTAATAATATAATGTATCTATTTAAATTGTTAGATGTAACCATAGCTTCTATGATAACAGTTTCTTCTCTTGCACTTCTCACTTGCGGAACTCTATTCCAGATTCTTGCTTTCCAATCAACTTTAATCTTCAAAAATTTAAATACAACGTTAATCCTCATCTTCTGTCTCTTTGAATCCTGTTCTTTTATTTTCCTCTCTTCTTTATTTATGAATTGCTATTACTTCTTGAGAAAGATGGTGGAGTGGTTTCCTTCTCCATGGTTTTGAATTCAAAGCTTTCCTTATTCTTGACTGGCTGCTGCTCAAAATTAGATCTCAGTCTACCCTATTATTTAACATAGCTGGAAGAGAAAGTATTGTTTCCAAGGGAATTAGTGAAAGAAATGACCACAATAGTCAAGGCTCAGCTCACCAATTCTACTTTCCAAGCCAATAACTGTGGAGACAAAAACCTAATAAAACAAGAAGTTAATGCTTCAGAGTCAATAATGTGAATGACAAATACATGTTTATACGCAGGTAGGCTCAACACAGAACTTCAATTTCTTTCAACTTAAAAAATAAGAAATTTAGATTGCATATTTCAGCCAATCAGAGAACTGCCTGCCTAAAAGATTGGATAGCTGTTTGATCCAGTATTTGTTTCAGCAAAGTGTATATAAAGGAAAGTAGAATTACCTTTGTGGCTTTTTTCTCCATGACTGCTATTGGAAGCCATGTTGGTCCTTTTTTCAACCACTGCTACTGGAAGCTCCGCCATTGTTTATGTTGATCATTTCTTTTATACATTTTCAAGTACCCAACATGTAGGACTGGATTTTTCTCAACTAATAGAAACATTCTTTTCTCTCAGACACACAACTACAAAAATTTATACTCTACCTTTCTTCCACATAAACATTCAATACAAAAAAACAGACCCCACATAATCTTACTACTGTTGTGGCCTTGTTAGGGCCAGAAATAAAGACACAAAGAGAGGAATTGAGTTAAACAAATATATTAACAGAAACAGTAATACAAACATATACAAACAAGAGTGTTGCAGCAAGAATGTTTGACCTGACTATCAGAACTGACTGCTGGAAACTTCCCTCTCCAAAAGGCAGTACCTGCTCCTATTTATAGCAGGTAGAGTTCACATGTGCATGGGTAAATTACCATAACACTAACACTAGTACAGACATTTTTGAACACAAGGATCTTTACTCACTCATCAAATACCAAAATTGTTGTAAATTGTTGTTATATAAAATCACTGTTATTGAATGTTATTTCCATTCTCTGTCTCCTTTTAAATCTATTTGTTGTGGAATTATCACAGAAGTCATAGTTTCACAGCATAAGTATTACAATACCTGCATGTCCTGTAAATCCTGACATTATTCTTTATTAAGCATAACCCAATATTATATTTGAAATTGGATGCTTTCAAAAAGATAATGAGTCCAGATGTTAATTTTACCTGTTTTCCACTTCACCTGATTGTCTCATTTCTTCTGTGTCAGGCATACCAAAACATTCCATTAATTTATCCATAACCATCAGCAATTCTTGATCAAGTTGTAAAAACATGTCCATTTCAATATTAGTCAGTTCTTTCCTGCCTAATATGCTTGAATTTAACATTGGTAACCAAGAACTCATTTTCTGGCTCATCAATAACAACGCATTGGAAGCACCTGTTATAAAAAGAATTTGAGAATGGCTTTTAATCATCACTTTTGATTTATCATTTTAAAGTATTTTTTTTTTTTTTTTTTACCTCAGTAAGATTATAGAATCCACAACACCATGCCACAGTTAATTGTGAATTCCGTAACACTGGTCAACATGATTTTTGGTGCCAAGAAACAAAACATGTTTTTTAGCTAATTTTGACAGTGCTGATTATGAAAATGACCTTAGTTTTTCATGGTTAGCTACCATTTTTGCTGTACGGAGATTTCTCATTTTTGGAAAAAAGATCAATTTACAATCTTGGTTGATCGCAAAATTTAGTTAATAAAGGTAGTAGAAACACATCAATTTTCAGGTAGGGCAAGCAATTTATGTCAGCCACCTGAAATAAACTATTTTTATAAGAAAAATGTTTTGGAGTCAAAAATTTTAAAATAGAAATACCAAATTTTTCCAATTAATCACCAAAATCCAAATTAACTGATAAACCTGATAATTAAGGTGACATCAAAAAAATGAAACTATAAAATGTTCTGTTTTATATTCATAAATTTATCCCATCACTTTTATCCCTTCACTATGGAAGGAAACCAAGCACATTGAGAGCATTTTGTTTTCACAGTTGGAAAGAAACTCCAAATAAAAACATCCCAATTGGATGCACCAATTCCATTGTACACATGATACTGCTGGAATAACACTGTACATGACAGAATTAAAAGAGAGAAAATTTTTACCATAGTTCTCATGTTCACAAAGGTTTTATTTCTGCTGTTATTTTATTAAATGATTTGATGAAAATATTTGTTGGTCTTGGTATATTCAATTATGTTATATTTAAAGACTTATGTTCTGATTGTTATTGCAAAAATAGTATTTCTCAATAAGCAAACCAATATTTGTTGGTTTAAATACGAATTGAGAGGTTTCTATGATTTTAGTTTGAGAAATATTGTCATCGGTCTATATCATATATACAGAAAACAAATGAAAAAATTGCCTTTTTTTCCGAAAATGAGGAATTTCTGTACAGCAAAAACAGTAGCTAATCAAGAAAAAGTAAGGTCATTTTCAGATTCAGCACCCTCAAATTAGCTTAAAAATATGTTTAGTGTCTTGACACCATTTCAATTCTTTTTTTTTTGTTGACCAGTGTAATCTTTTCGATGACTGTATCATATGCACCTCATCAGGACTACCTATGGTTTTAAATTTGAAGTTGTCCTTTCTCCTAGACTAATTGCCAATTATGGCTAGGGATCTTAGTCTGTCTCATAGTGATGAGGAGAAGAGATAGTCATACCTTTCCCAAGGGTATTTGTGTAAAAGTGAATGTAACAAACTTCACCAGAATTCAAACTTCATTCATCATCCATTCTTTCTTAGCTGCTAAAGGTTACACTACATGCACATATTTAATATTATAGGATAAGTCACATCATAAGTCAGCCAGGTAGAGAAAGTTTAAGTAGAAATGAAATTTCAGAATATGGTTCTAAATTAAATGAAAAATTTAGTAACCAAAAACAAATATCAACAATTATTTAAAATAACAATTAAGATTAGTTAATGTAATCAAATATAATTTGAAGTTAAACTAACATTATTTTATGAATTATACCAATGAGTATCATCATCATTGTTGCTTTGGTTACTACATTTTAGCTGGTGGTTCTTCCTCATGTTTATGTCACATCTGATGATCTTTGAATCAAATTCCTTATCTCATTCAAATTTTGATTTATTCCTTTTTGTTTTCCTTTGCTAAAATTTGCCATCACTCCAATTAAAAGAATTGACAAAACTGAGTGATAAAGATTTGTGTTGCTATAAGGTTTTTGCTTTCTTTTTACAGTAATGTAAATAAACTTTACCAAGTATGTAGTGACCAATTTTCAGAATATATATGCTCAATGCCAGCATACATAGTTGTGTGAAAAGGTAACGAAAATTTGTTGATATGTGGTTCTTTAGTTGCCATTGTTAAGGGAAGCAATTAGGTGTAAAAGTGTGGTTGGTAACGGCTGAGAGTTGATGGATTTGTTGGGTCAGTTGACTGAGGTCATGGTGGTGATGACATGGTAGACTTGAAGCTGTCAAGGTGTTAGAAATAACTGTGGTGACATCGAGAGTCCACCAGGGTCAACAACTGACTTGTTAGAAACCCAGCATTCTGTGTGTGAAGAGTTAGGTGAAGTCAGGAATTTGGTTGCTGTTACATTGGATGAATTGACCAAGGACACAGTGGTGATGATGTGAGGGACAGTCATGGTAGTGACAAGAGCTCACCATTGTTGACAGCTGGCCTATCTGACTGGGTTTTGTGCCAGTCGTTTATGAGGGGCTTTCTTTTAAGTAAATCTGGCATCTTTCAGGCTCATCTTATTCTTTTGGTAGCATCATTTATGATTGGCTAATGTTTCAATGATTTGTTTTGTGGACTGGATATGATGCTTGGAGCCCCTGCACAGATGACTCTTTTTAATTTAATTTCTCAGCACTCACAATTGCCTGACATAGAATGAATCAGAAAGAGATCTAATCTGCAGTGGAATAGTAAAAATGTCTTTGTAGACAATCAACTCATACTCTGAGTGACAGACTACATATAAAAAGCCTACTTAGAGATATACCAACCTTAAAAGCCAAGTTCACAAAAAATATGCATTAATTCCCAGCAAAAAAATTCACTAAATTATTCCATCCTTATGATTAAGCTAGGTTAACTATATCATCCCTTAAGTGATTTCAACTGTTAAATCTCTGTGATTCTGACCAAATTATTAAAAAATCTGAATTTAGTGCAATTAAATTGATATATCTCAAAAACTGTTGAAAATCAAATATTACGAGTTGATTTTGTACAAAAGCAATCTGATATCTCTTTCAAATGATACCAAATTCAGCCTCCTTGGTATTACTGGTTATGAGATATGATTTTTGAAATCTATAACTTTGTAAAAGTTGTAGATTCCCAAAGTCTCATTGATCATGTGACTGATGGTAATGATGTGTACTTAAATACAGTGCTACCTCAATGTGGGTGCATTCAGGTACTCTTGAACTATAAGTGTATGAAACCTGTGGGCACATTTGAATACTTTCTACCTTACAGTGCTCATAACTTAGAAGTTAACAAATCATCAATACATTATACATTTATTAACTACTTACATTAATTCCTGACAACGCATTTTCTCTGATTTGCAATGAATTGATTTTAACCCATTATATTAATCCAATCTTAAATGTACATAGAACATTTTCTATATAATTAATGAAAGTAAATACTAGTTGTTATTATCATATAGATTACTTTATTAGCCAGAGGGAATGGTTGGTGCATTACATTGAATAGAGTGATAATATTTTTTCATAATTCAAAATACTATCAAATTAGCAGTTTATATAACCTATGACATCACCATTAGGTTGTGAGAAACAAATATTTCAAAACTCTAATGCTTGTGTATATAGTGACACAATACTAAAATGATAGGTAGCATGCAGGTGCTAAAATGTCTATAATTCCTTTGGTATGCAAACAAATGGGGCCACAAATGTTGAACCCATACTACAATAAATTAGCCACATGGTAAAGATAGAAAACTATCATAGTCCCAAACCCTCCAATTTAGGAGACTAGCCTCTAGCAGGTAGAAGAGTGAGGTTCCACTGAAGAGATTCAAGGATAGCTTATAAAGAACCATCATCTTGTATGAATTCAACCAACAGTGGAACACAGAAGCAAACAAAAGAGTGACAGTCCAAGATTTATCAGACAATCTACACTGCAAAACAAAAAAAAATGAAAGAAAAGAGTCAGCTTCACAAGGCAGACTTTTGGATGTTGCCAGGTCCTCCATCTGAAAACCTGCAACAAACATGGAAACACTCCCAATGTCTTTGTAAGCAAAGCAAAGCCATAATAATAAATAGTGATGGTATTCATTGCCACTTCAAAGTGGCCTCTGAGCTGATTAAATTTGCTTCAGATAAAGATTATTATTGTGTAACAGTGTAAACAGACTAGGCAGGAATTTGAATTGGGCTTGCCGATGGCATTTTCTGCATTGATAACTAATCACATGTCTATTATTCAGTAATATAATAGGACTATTACATTCATAATGTTAATGTATTGCTAATAATTTTACTATAGGAATTAATTGCAAATCAGGAAGACAGAATTATCAGTGGTCAAGAATTAATGCAAACATTACTACTGGCAGAATAGAAGTATTATAAGTATAATATAAATGCATTGCTATTCATGTTACTATAGAAATGTATTAAAAATGATTTTAGTGCAGAAATGCATTAAAAATCAAGGAGAAAGGAATTGCCAGTGGTCAACAATTAAAGCAAGTATTACTAACAGAACAGGGCTATAATGTGTATATATATATGTATATATATATATTTCATTTCTGTAGTTCACTGCTACCAGCAAGCAGAAATATTTCTTCTCCTGATGGCCATGTTGGCCAAAACTAGTCGAAGAATCTAAATGAAATAATAATAATAAAACGAAAGAATATTAATCTACAACCCAGTGTGTCTGAAGATTTTAATTTTTAATATTTTTTATTGTTCAAAAAAAAAATATATATATATATATATATATATATATATATATATATATATATCACACATTATGAAATGGACAAAGTCCGGCAATTGTTTTAAGACATTTTTATGTTTATACATTCTTTTTATAGATACAAATATTTAAGTAAATGCTCTGTTTATCTTCAGGCCAGTAAATGTTGTTTAATACTGTTTATTATAAACAGAGCATTTACTTAAATATTTGTATCTATAAAAAGAATGTATAAACATAAAAATGTCTTAAAATAATATATATATGTATATATATATATATATATTCTAAGACATTTTATGTTATTGTTTTTATTTATTCTTTTTTTTCTGGTTCAATTTCTTTTCTCCTATCATAATTACTTTTGATTCTTGTTTATATTGCTCATATGCCAATGAAATTCATTTGGTTGAATAAAATGTTCACATCCTGCAAAAATAACAAATTTCATTTTACACAAGAGATACAATATGACCACTTCTTTAATATCCATCTAAAAATATACTAACACAAAAAGATCGTGTTAGCAAAATCACTCATATTTCAAATGATTTACTGACTATTTGTAGAGAAGTTTATCAACAAAAGATGAACAGCAGAAATTACTTACCATTGTCTCCATTAATTAAAATTTTGTACTGTTCCTTCATTTTGTTTAAAACCTGCAAGAGCAAACAGAAATAAATTTAATAAGCAATTTCACCATGGAATGTAAGTATAAAAAATGCTTCATGATGAATGTCCTTTGTAAATTTTGCCAATTTCATCTGGCCATACCTTAGACCACAACATGGATTCTCAAACATTAAATATTTTACAAAAGCTATAATTAAATGAAAATGAAGTGAGGAATAATTCAATAAGAGTCTTACATGCGCACATGCAGATACAAAAAGAAATCAAGTTTAAGATAGATTTCTATCTGAAATGGAAAAATACATAAAAATAATCCTAATATAATAAAGCAAGAGTCTGCATGAATTCACCTCTGAAATAGAGAAGAGTTAACTGAGAGAGACTATCTTTGAAGTCAGTGTTTGATTCTACTAATAAGATATTATAATCTGAGTTTGATCAAAAATTTTAATCCAATAAAATAATTATAAAACACCTGACTCAAATTTTACTGGAATAATTTTGCAATGATATTTACTTGTAAGAATCAAGAAAATATTAGATTGATTTCAAATACAGATATAGATAAGAAGGAATTATTCTAATTTTATTGAAAAATATCCAGCAAAATTTTAGATTTAAATCAGTTAACATAAATAATTAAAATATCTAGTTGGATTACTGCGCCCTGATGAAAATTATGGGTGGTAAGATTTTGAATTACTGCCCCTGATGAAAACAGGCAGTGCAAGATTTGAAAGAATCAATCTCTTTCTCAGTGACTTTTCATAGCAAAAAGACACATTCTTTCACACTGGCAAAAAAATGTAAGTACTCAACTACAGACACTGAAGGTTGCTTTGAACTCTTCACCTTTCATTTCTCATTTATCCTTTTGTAAAATGTCCTATCAATATATTTGTTAATATTTCCTTGTTCAAATTCTATCTTATTTTTCCTTTGGACTCACATGAGTCCACCAAAAATTGTTTGTGGGTCAAATGTACCAGGAGCTTATAAAATCTCATCAAAAATGTTCCAGCCTGCAACAATATAAAAAAATACAACAGGAAAGATAATCATTATAAAGAAAATTATCGGTAAAAAATTATAATAAAAGGTAAGAATTATAAACTAAATTTTACTTAAAATATTACAGTAAAAGATAATAATTTTAAAGGGGAAATATTAAAACCATCTAATCATGAATTTTTTACAATTTTTTTAAATTTCTCCTCTTCTCTAGGTTATTTTTTCATAATAGATATTAGTATTATCATCACATATTGATTTCAGATAAATGGAGCTCATCAGCCCAGGAAGGTAGTCCATCTAGAAGAAGTAAAACCCTAATTTTAAACCACCACTGCTTTGTAGTCATATCCAAATATAGAAAAAGCTATGGAAGAAAATCCAGATAGAAAAGTGAAGCTTCATATGCAGTTGGCTGTTTGTCACCCAACACCACCTCCTGGTCATCCAAGACGTCCAATACTGCAGCTGATCAATGAAGTGATAGCTTCGATCCCAGTCCTGTCTTATCCCACGTTGTGATTTGGTTTGATCAATCAGCGGCCAAGGTCAAATCTTCATATGGTATCTTCGTATTGGGCTGATTCAAGTAGAGTGAAGATGCACAGTAAGAAAACAATACTTGAATAAATTAAAAAAATTAAATACTATTTTATATCAAGTCCTACGTACAGTAACAAATTGTAAACAAATATCAGCCCAACTCACTTCTAACTCAGACGTGACACTTTTGTTGACTTGGTAAAGTTTGTTTTGCTGATTTGGTAAAGTTCAGCACAAGGCTGATGTCAGAGGCTCTTGTCGGCAGATAATGACAGGGAGTGTATTACAACTGGTGGCTGGAACAAACTCTCTTCTGTCTTATCTCTGATGATCTCGCTTCAGCCATTCATATTTATTGCTTAAGCTGGCGTGGGGCACAGTGCAGTTGGAGAATTCAGTATCTCCTGTCATCTTCATTGTTTTTGGTCCTGAGAATTAAATTATTTCATAATTTTGGGGGAATTCCCTTCTTCCATGGGTGATGGTTATAGGCATTACTTTGCCTCATAACTTCCACTTCTCCTTATTATCATCTCCCACTAATCCTCCTCAGTGGGTGTGGGTGGCTCCTCCACCTTCCTTGGTGACTCATCTGTGCCTGCTAACTCAGCCACCCTTCAATCAGGAATGATTAATTCTAAGTTCATTGTTTACAAAAACAAAGTTTCCCATTCATAGTTCATTTTTAGCTCTGTGTGAGAAGTGTCAATCATTGTTGACTTTTTTGGCCTGTTGCAGTTCAAATCCAAGTCCACCTTATGTTTTTCATTGTTCAAAACCCTGACACACAATTCAGGTGACTGTCTATATGAGAATTAAAATCTTCAATTTTTCCCACAGGTTTTATTCATTAACCCTTCTTATTTATCAGGGGTCTGTCAGTAGTATATTGTTCCTACTATTTTAAGAAAACTTTCTTATGATTACCAGTTACAAAAATAGTGTCACATGTCAACACTGAAAAACTTTTGGTAACTCCTACAGCCAAGACATCCCCAAATGTAATGACCTGTATTCCATTGGACTTTGTTGGCATGGCCAAAAGGTGGGGTCATGGGATCTGGGCAGTACACAACCTCCATATGCCATTGATCAGGCATGTGTTCTGGAGAGGTCACTCCATTTTCCTCACCAAAAGGACTGAATTTTAACCAAATATTGTGCTACCGTTATTACACAAGATAAACAGATGCCTATATATTGAGACATTAACTGAATTCTACATGAGTTTGAAAATATATTGTTATTAAATATATTTTTTTAGCGAAACCAACTATGGTAACATTTCTAGACAATCAATCAGTGAAGTTTAGGCACTCAATACCTTGCATATTAACTATTGTGTTATTATATGTGTTACTATCAATGCTATTATATGTTGGTTTTGTTTTAGTATACTCCTATAAATGAGTATTTCTATAATTTCAGTCTGAATTTCTGGGATGAGAAGTTATCATTATTTACATTATATCATTTGGACTAATGTCTTCCTCTTCATTCATATTTTCACAAACTCTGCCTGTCTACTCTACATAAAGAGCATATTGGAAAAGATTCAGAAAATCTGTAGTGCATACAACAGTAGGAAAATGTTCAGAAGCAGTTTGATCTTATGGAGAAATCTCTGCTAAATGAAGCCTAACATAGAGAAGAAAATGACCAAGAACTGTGTGTATTCCATCCCTTGCAGTTGTGGAAAAGAATACAAAGGTGAAACTAACCACCTGCTAAAAGTAATATTGGAGAAACATCAAAAGTCATAATTAGCGGAGAAACAATGAAATCAGACATGGCTGATAATGTATATAAAGAAACACCTGTGGAATGAAGTAAAAATACTAGACAAAAAAAAGCACTAGTCTGAAGGAATCATCACAAGTGCTTAGCTATGAGAACCTCCTCAGTTGACCTAGTGTAGAAATAAATACCATATGGGAGCCATTAATAAATAAATAAAGAGAAACTATATCAAATGGTTATTTGAGTGTTAAAATTCAAGCATTTAAGTTCACCCCAAACCTCAAGTGAAACTCATATACATGATCTATTGCTAAAGATCCTGGAAAATAGTCACTGCTCCAGGAAGTACATGCCTCCTCCTGCCATGCTCTATCTTTGAAAGAATCAGATCTGACCAAAAATGGAGTATTGCTGTCATATCTTGGCTGGAGCTGCCTAATCCTCACTTTCCAGGCTTGACAGAGTTCAAAAGGATTTATGCAGGATTGTGGGTAATGGAATATTTTCAACTTTATGTCTTCTTTTCCATAGATGAAATGTTACAGGCCCATCTCTACTCTAAAGCTATTTTCATGGCAAAAGTTCAGGCAAGCAACATTCCTTATTTCTCCCAGTTCAGACCTTTCTGGAAACTTTAGTGCAATGATGGCAGATAGGCAGATACAGTTCACTGGCCATAACCTGTGATTACCTGACAGTGAAACAGTCAAAGTTGCTTTAAACTGGATATTTCAAAGGTGCAAAAAAACAAGGAGTCATTCTAAAAGGATAGACATAACACATTACAGTTAAAGAAGAACTGAGGAAAAGAAACACCAACTGGTTCCAGTCTCCATAACTTGACCAAGATAGATCTAAGTGGAGGAAAATTGTGGCTCTTTGCTGTGCAATGGCTGGAGGAACAATGTAAGTATCAAGATAGGTAGACATGCACAGTTAGGAATTATCATACCACATCCACAGGGTCATATTATCTTCATTCCTTTCATATTCTATTGATAAGAATGAAATTCCACTCAGATTCCTGAGTATCACAACTTTGTAGAACAGGCTTCTGAGATGATGCTTCTCCAATCACTATAATCTTAACCTCTTCAAGTCTTGGGTGAACAATTATCTATCCTGTATATCCTCATAATCTATACTTACTTTCCCTTATTTCATCTATCAAGCAACCTCATTCAATAATACCCTACATTAAGTGACTCTTAGACCTTGTATTGGGTAAAGCTAAGTAATGCTCAATGCAGGGAAAACTGACTGTTCAAAATGTCTATTTTTCAACAATAAGCTTTGACTACCCAGAGATATAGTGCAGAAGAATCGTCTTAAACCAATAAAACTCTTTTGAGGTCATCATTTAGTTGTCACTATGTACTGCTAAGATTGAGACAAACTAAAGATAAGAATAACACTTGTTCAAGATATTTTGTTCTAAACAATAATTAATTATTTTACTAACAAATGATTAAAAAAATGAGTATCTTTATTAAAAGTGATGTGTGGTTAGCGTAACAGTTATAAATGCAGGCAGTGGAATCAGAGAGCCAAGTTCAAATTTCAGGTTAGTCTATTTCACTTTCACGCTAATGCCCTTGAAAAAGGCATGAAATCGCCTCTCCTCAGCCCAGATATATATTAAATAGCAAGATAGGCTAGGTTCTCAAGCCTTAGATGGCAACTAGTCTAAGAGAAGGAAAACTTTGAATTCCAAACTGTGAAGGAGACAACAGGAAACCACTAAATGATCATTCCCAAGAATGCATGGCAATTCACAGATAATAAAGTAAAAGAAACTTGTGGAGGGTTATGATCACCTACGCCCTGGAGGGACATGATATGTAGAACAACATCTGTACTGTTAAGAATATTGTGGACTCACCTCATTCATATGGTCTGTACAGGTTTTGAACATGACTTTTTGATTCTCTGAAAGTGTATGTCGATCAAGCAATACAAAAGATAACTCTTCCCATTCACTCTGGAGTTTCATCATTTTGTCAAGATCCTCTAATCTGCTCAGAGAAACAATTCCATCATAATTCTGGTTTTCTGCTGTTAGTATCTAAAAAGAATTAAAAACAATAAGCAATCCTGAAAAATATTTTTGAAAATAGAAATTAATTTCTTTTTACTTGTGTTCCTATTTTTAAAATGCTTTCTCTCAAGAGTACAATATGTTTACATTATTTACATTGTTCAGGCTGTTGTCCTCATCTTTATTGTGATATTCACAACATTTCAGTCATTGTATGCTCTGGTCTTCTTCAGGTGATCGGAATTTTGAACTGAACCCTTTATTCTGTTCACCAGGATAGATTGTTCTAGTTCCACATGGCATGCCTCTTCCAAATGTCTCAGTTATCTCCCTTTAACTCAACTCTCCAAGTTTTTGTTCACCACTGCAGTAATGTCCTCAAGGACACATGACTCAGTGGATAAAAGCATTGGTTGGATCCAGTGACTTGACCCAAAGAGTTGTGAGTTCAATACCTGGCTACTGCAGTGGTGAACAAAAACTCGGTGAGTTGATTTAAAGGGAGATAACTGAGACGTCCAGAAGAAGCATGCCATGTGGAACTAGAACAATCTACCCCAATGGATGGAATGAAGGGTTCAGTTTGAAATTCCAATCACCTGAAAAAGGCCGGAGCATATAATGGCTGAAACATCATAAATATGGCAATAAAGATGAGGACAACAGTTTGAACAATGTAAATAATTACAATACCTCATCTCAAAAATATAGACAGATAGTACAATATATGCTTTAAATCTGTAGAAAATAAATTTAAAGACTAAAGAGAAACATTTTTAATGTACAAAATATAGAATCATTTACATTAAGAATTTTGCTACTGCTAACCTCCAAATATGCATTGAAAAATTCAGTGTTAATCAAAAGATGGGGAAATGTGCATGAATTTTCTGCTTTCTGCTCCTTGTAAGCAATAATCTCTCCATATTGGATCTTATATCTTTCTGTGAGTTATTCAAACTACTGGACTTATTTTTCTGTTACCAGTATTCCATTCAATGGCTACTTTCATGGGTAAAAATAAAGAAAGAGGCATCTTAACTGCAGAAACAAGAGTTAAATATAAAAGAAATGATGTCCGACCAGGTTGGCTCATTCCTAGTCATGCAGACAATACCATTTTCAGCAATCCCTGTAATAGAAGTGACTCTATATTTGTACATGGAGATGATTTCCAATTTCTTTCTTGTTGAGCAAATAATGAATTAGTAGCTCAAATGACTCTTCTTAAAATTAGAGATGAAGAACTAATTGGTTAGATAGAATGTTCAACTTGTATTTACTTAAAAATGTAATAAATATTACTGATATCAGACTGAAGTCAAAGATTAAGAAACCTAATGAGAACTTTTTCTAAGATATGTTTTTGTTCTTTGACTTCAGTCTGATATTATCAATATATATTTCATTTCTAAATATATTCAAGTTGAACATTCTGTTTACCCAATTAAATCATCTATAATTTTGAGAATTGTCTGAACTATTCTCTTCAGAAGTTCTTAAGCTTTTAACCCTTTTCATATATTTGCATTGACAGGTGGCCCCTGTGTTAATATTGCACTGGTAAAGGGAGCAGAGTTAAGGTAACATAGTTAATGTCCCATGTTAATATACTATTGTGTTAGAACAGAAACAATCTTTGAAGTAAGCTGTGGCAAGAACAGCCAAACAGCAATCACTATACTTATCCATCAAAATTTTGTTCATTTTTTCCTCTATAGAAATATTGCAATGTTTAAAATACATGTAAAAATGTAAATATATAAGTGAAAACTAAAACAAATACATAATAAAATGCTGTTGCACATATGATAAAAGGTTTAGTTAATCATACTACCCTGTTAAAATGTTGAACATCAAGACCCTCGTTGAGTGTTTACATTAATCTTGTGTGAACAATGACTTAATTTTCCTTTGAAAATCTTTACTGAAATTATTCAAAGTCAGAGATCATGAAAATGATTAAGTATTTCAGTAGCTTTTTATAAATTCTTTATTAATACCTTAATATTATTTATGTTATTAACAGTTGAACTAATGTCCTTATCATTGTTGTTTGCATCACGTTTTTGGCTCTGCAACTCTCTTTAAGTATCTGTTGATCCAGGTAATCATCAGGGAATTTCAAACTGAACTCTTTATGAAATTCCCTAATGGTTACCTGAATTGACAGACATCTGAAAAAGGCTGGAGGGCAGAACAGACAAAATGTTTGATAGTAACAACAAAGATGAGAATATTAGTCTGACTGTAACCAAATATTGATAATTCCTCATCCCAGAAATTCAAACAGTAATACCCTAGTATCTATTTAAGATATGTGTCATGCTCCTAAAGAAGATAATATTAAATAAAGCTTCACCCACTTCAAAGGATCAAAAGAGTAAAGGAATAATTAAACTTGATGGCAAATGAGTTTGTTTTTCCTCTCCATCTTTTTCTCCTTTCCTTTCAAGAGCTTTTCTTCTTGTTTCTCTTTAACTTTCTTCTTTACACTTTCTTCCCCACTTTACTCTTCTCCCTTGCTTTTCTCCATTCTGTTGTCATGTGAAAATGAACAGATAGACACCTGATATGTGTGTATGTAACATTTTTCACACAAATATTACACTTCAATTCTAGGCAAAAGTGCCCTGAAGCAACACATTAATCCTAACTGAGTGCACAGTTATTCTGATCCTAGGTAGAAATGCCATTCCATATGTAAATAATTCCATAATTTTTTTATGGATATTATGCTGGTTAATGATAATTTGTTAACAATAGTAAATCTAGATTGTATCATGACAATGAATAAGTTGGTGGTTGCTTTCCAACTTTATTCAAATTGTATGGTTACCATTCTGATTGGTCCAACTACAGATAATTGTAAGACTTTACTTGCATATTTATGCAGAACCAGAAGAATAAAACCTTCTGCTTCATATGTTCATTTAACACACTATACATGAAGAGAATTGAAGCTAACTTTTTCATATCTTATATCATCTAAATAGTATAGAAACAAAGCCAACTGTACATAATATAATAATATCATAGTCTATATAACCCCATCAATGGTATTAAACATCATCTTTAAATTAGACTCCCATTAAGCTAGTGGTGGGGATGGGATACCAGCCATTGTCCTGAAGAAATGTGCTCCTGAACTGGCTCCTGTCCTCTCCAAACTATACAACTACTGCCTCACCAACTCTTGTTTTCCAGCCTGTTGGAAGTCCTCATCTGTTGTCCCTTGAACTCTGGAGACCCTTCTGACTCATCTAACTACCATCCTATCAGTCTCCTACCGCTCTTTAGTAAAGTCTTCAAGGCTTTAATCAATGCCGAAGTGCTTAAGCACCTTACATCCCATGATCTGCTCTCTGACAAGCAATATGGTTTCCACTTTGCCCGATTTACCACTGACATGCTCATGGTCATAACTGAATTTGTATACCAAGCACTTCAGAATAACAGAGAAGCTCAAGCTGTGGCTCTAGATATCTCTAAAGCATTTGATAGTGTTTGGCATGCCAGCCTTCTTTGAAGATTCAGGGATATGGCATTACAGGATGATTATTTGACTCAATACAATCATTCCTGCCAAACCATGAAATGAAGGTCGTCTTAAGCAGGTTATCCTCCAGCTCCTTTCTCCCTAATGCTAGTGTTCGCCAAGGCTCTATCCTGGGTCCTATACTGTTTCTAATCTTCATCGTCGTCAGTTCCCAAGTAGGCATCTACATGGACAACACTACTATTTACTCCTGCCTCAATAGTAAATCTGGTATTGTTGACAAAACTAACCTGCCTGTTGGTCTTGAAAAGGACCTCCAATCTCTGGTTGACTGGGGCAGGAAATGGCTTGTAACGTTCAATACCTCCAAAACAAAACTGCTCTCATTTACTCACCACAGAGAACCCTCCCTGCCTCCTATCAGAATGACTGATTCCCAACTCCATGAGAACACCTCATTATGCCTGCTTGCCTGAGGTGGAACAAATACATTGAATCAATAGTTTCATCTACCACAAGGAAAGTTGGTTCTCTGTGTCATGCCAGAAAGTTTTTCTCGCCGGAGTCCATCCTTCAAACCTATAAATCAACCATCCATCCTTTCATGGAATACAGCTGTCATATATGGTCTGATGTCCTCACTGTACATTTCGAGGTCCTTGACAAAATCGAGAGACAGATATGCAATGTGATAGGTCCTGATCTGGCATCCTGTCTACAGTCACTATCTCACAGATGTGCTGTGGCTTGCCTCTATCTCTTCCACAAGTATTTTCATGCAACTACTCTGACGAGCTACTTTCACTGGTTCACAAACTGCATGAATTTAAGTGTGCTACTAGGTTGGCATCTCGGTCCCACCCTTTCACTGTCAAAACGGTTAAATGAAGCCATCTCTTCTACTCAAACAACTTCTTTTGCACTTCCCATCTGTGAAACTCCCTTCCCCTTACTTGCTTCAAATATTCAAGTGTAATGTCAATCAACATCTTCTAATGCCATGATCTTGTTCCCCGTCCTTCTCTTTATTCTTTCCTCAAACACACCTCTTTATTCTTGCTCTTACCCTCTGTAACCCCTTGCATGCTAGTGGCATTCCCGCCTTGCTTGGGGTCTAATGCTAAAAACAAAAGATTAGCTAATGTCTGATATCATAATTGATCAAGCAGATTAACTAGGATGAGCTAAGACTGAAAAGCTAGGTTATTTCTGGCATTCATGACAATGGAAAAGCTATAATGTTAATGACAATGATAATGATGATGAATTTAATATTGGAGGTATTGATGATGCTGATGATGATGATGATGATGATGAAGGTATTGATTGATTAATTTGTTTTCTACAGCTTATCAATACTTTGCAGGAAATCAGAAAATATTTTTAGATTGTAAGAAATTTTTTTTGAGATAATAATGATTTAGTGATACAAGTCTAACTAATTAACCCATAGCTGGGGGGAAAAGAGGCAGCTTCATATTTTTCCCAAGGGTATAATCGTGTAAGTGAATATAGAAATCTAAATTGAAATTGGAACTCTGCTTTCTGATTAACAATTCCAAACCATTATCCATTACACTACCTGCACACCCATGCTTACAATACCCAGATAGGTACTGACCAAGCTTAATGTTATTGAACTAGGGTGAGCATATGGGAACTGGTGTTTCAATGTGATATGGCCATACACCTAATAATGGAAGTATTGTTGTTGTTGTTGATGATGATAATGATGATATAGAAGTTCACAATTATTTTTAGTAAGAAAATTATGATGACAGTATTATTGATAATGATGGTGGTGTGATGTTTATGATGTCATGAAAATGTATTGAAGATAGTTTAATGGCTATACTGACTTCATCCCAGCTGTAAAATGTGTCATATATTTCCTTCTTCAGTGAGCATGGAAGTACTTTGTAAGAGCCTTGTTCATTCCTGAAAAAAAAATTAATAATCTTTTCATATTGAGCTATATATTTAAAATATAATGCTGTGAGTACCACCTCCAAATTTCAATTTTAAAAGAATAAAAAGACAAGAAAAAAGAAATAACAGGACAAATAAAAATTCAAAAATCTTATAAATCATAACATTTAGGCAGCAATATTTATTAGAAACATAAGGTTAGATTTAACCTTTATCACTCTGTATGTGACTTCATTTGATGTACAAAAAGTTTATCCTACCACTGAAGAAATAAAGAACAAGTGTCTAGTAAAATTCAAGCTTGTGTCCCTTTTCTCCTCATGGAGGAAGAGCTTAGTGTGACAGTTGCCTTACAAATTAGGTCATAAGGTCAACCAGCTACAGAAACTGAAGTGTTACCAAATAATTCTTCATTCTTTATTTTTCCTGAACATTACTATTTGTTATAATAAAATACTATGGCATGATTTTGATATGATGAAATAATTACATTACTGAAAATCTATGAAGTAAAGTACAAGAGAAAAAGTGTAGATTTGAAGTGTGAAAAAAACAAAACAGATATTTATTTAATTACCGAACTTGTTCTTTGAAAATTCCAAAGCGTTGCTCAATATCAGCTTTTAGTTTATTAAATGTTGCCTTGGAATTTTCCTCCCATTCAGAAATGTCCAGATAGAACTTTTCCATGCTGTTTTTCCAGATGTTTACCATTTCCTGTATTTTGACTAACAGCACTGTGTCCTGGTCACTGACAAGAATTGTGCAATGCTGTGCAATTTTGGCCCACATTTTTTCACTTATAAGTAGCAACTTGGCTGTGGTCAAATTACTTTCTTCAATGACCTGCAGAATAAAATGGAATAGTATTTGTTTTAGTAATTCATTTCTCAACCTAAAAATGTTCAGTTTTAATTATTACATCTATTAGTTGCATTATTAGTCACATCTATTCTTCATAAAAGACAATAACCATATCAGTCATTTTTTATATATATGTAGTGGAATATACATGGATAAAGTGATGAAATAAGCAAATCTTCAACACAGCTCTACAAATTTAAATAATTTTTTATTATTTGAGTATTATTTTTCTTTCAAATTGAAAGAAATAAATTACAAAGATTCTTTGCAAAACAACTTCACACAAAATATTTTGTGTATCTTTTTACAGTACAATTGAATGAATTGTGTTAGTATAGAAGAAACAGAATACATCTACATGTTTGACATGGATGTACATTGTGTTATGTATGCATATAAATTGTTGCAGTCAGCAGTATGAATAAGCAGGGAGCTGTCTTACTGTCTTTAGTCTCTATGTTTTTTTTATGCATCAATATCGCTAAGCATTTTGTGTAATAATTTACTCAAATAAATATGCAAAAATGTGAGTAATTAATTAAGTGTGAAAATTTCAGTTTTGTATAACAAATGAATGACCACCCTGGTCAAAGGTTAATTGAAGAAGTAAAAACTAACTAGTGAACTAAAAATTGATTACTTTTATAATCAAACAGTTTTTAAATATCCATTTTAAGGAAGGAAAATATTGTTGATCATATTCTGAAGTGACCTACCAAAATTTCATAACAAAGAACAAATATTTATTGTTTGCAAATTCAAAGAATACCGTGCATTTCATAACATCACTGATTCATTAACATATATGAATATAAAAAATCAAATTTTTGGAAACAGTTCAAACACAATAATGTGTTAGTTTCTGTATGAGACAGCCTTGCACAAATGGGTGCATGGCCAAGTAGTTAGAACATTCATTTTCTGGCTATAAGACCTGGGTTTGAATCTCCCTATGGTTGATTTGTCAGGAAGGTGACTTCTTGATGCCACCAGTCTGAGGAGGCAATCCTATCATGTGACATCATTGGAAAGTACCTGATAATCATACCACAGGTTGACCCAATCCTTGTAATTGAAATTGGGTAAACAGAACTGTTTGGAATCCATCAATGGCTGTGCTAGCACAAAATCACAAGTCATTGTGACCAAGGGTTTGTGAATACTGGACTTGTTCAAATTGTTGATCATGCCAGATTATGTAGCCTCTCCAAGAAAGTGTAACTAAAGACTGCTCAGCATAATTGCAGAATATAAACCACAAGTGGCCTCTGTGGAAGTTGAACAAACACAAATATGCCTTAGCAGGCATCTACAACAGGAATTGGCTAGCCACCCCAAACAGATGGGTGTACTCAGAAACAAGAAGCTGGGAATTGTTATTATTATTACTATTATTATTATTATTATATATCTGAAATTTTTATTTCTTTAAGGTTCCATATTTTATCACCACACACACACACAGACATATATAAACATGTGTGTGTGTGTGTGTGTGTGTGTGTGTGTGTGTGTGTGTGCAAGGAGAAAATAGCCATAATTACTTTCCCAAACCAAAAAAATTTACAAAAGATTGAGACTCAAAATGCAAGCATAAAAACACATTTATACTACATTACCTAGGCATGGCCTGAAGCTCAATTAGGACCCATTTAAACACACATGGAAACCTACTAAACTCCATCCACAACATAGTTGTAGAAAATATAAGTATAATAGTCTCATCCACATGTAAAAAAACTGAAGTTAATGGAAGCACTAATAAAAAAAAGCCAACACTCAATAACATCAACTATGAACATGGCCACATGTGCTGACTGTGTTTGGAAAATAAAAAACATCCCATCACACTAGAAATATATATAAAATAATCTACACATTCAGTTAAAAACAAAAAAATAAAAAAAAAATTAAAAAAAATTAAAAAAATCCATGATAATGGTTAATAAAAAACCAAATGTGCTCAGATATACAGAAGATTTGGACAATTTTTATATACTTTATGTCCAGAAAAGAAAACACTTATACGAACACAAGAAAAATTAAATAAAAAATTTAATTGCAGTATCTTGTGAGTTGTTTTTAATGAAACTTGTATAAAAGAGGGATTGGTGCCCAAATACACAATATATATATAATAAATTTACATTTATTTTTCCTCATCAACAGCACAACTTTGAATTTTGTGCACAATGCAATCGTCAGGTGCAGATTGATTGATTGTTTTCTATCAGTACCTGATGATTATATTGTGTATGAAACGCAGAGTTGTGGTATTGGTGAAGAAAAAAATGTATATTTATTATTAACATAAATTATAGTTCTGTTATTATACATTGAGCACTATTTTATTAGCACCAGTACTCAATCACAATGTGTGATATTATATATATATATATATATATATATATATAGAGAGAGAGAGAGAGAGAGGTACATCAATAAGTACAAATCCAAATAATGAAAAGAAGCATGTTTTACATAATAAATGTTTATTTTTAACATAATATCCTTCGTTCCTTCTTTTCTTTTTATGTGCTATGTCCTTTCAGGACGAAGGCAATCATGGCTCTCCCTCTCTATCCCTTGCAGTTCTCAACAAGTTCCTTCCTTCTGCTTCCTCCCCCAGACCACATTCTGTCATCCACTTACTTAAGTTCGCCAGGTATGTCACACGTTGTTTTCCCTTGTCTCTCTTTCCCTCTATTCTACTCATGAGTATCAGATTCTCCAGGCCCTCATTCTTCATTATGTGTCCCAGAAACCTCAGCTGCCTTTTCCTGATATTAAGTATAAGCTTCCTCCTTGTTTGCAACCTCTCTAAGATCTCATTGTTGCTCCCACACTCAGTCCAATATATCTTTAGCATCCTTCTATCGAACCACATCTCTGTCACCTCGAGTCTCTTCTTCATCTTTGAGGAAATCATCCAACATTTGCTGCCGTAAAGAAGGACAGATGCCACATAACAGTTCAGTATTCTTTTCTTTGTTACCAAAGATATTCTCCTGTTTCACAGTACTCTGCCCAACTTTTGGAATGTGTCCTTGGCCATCCCAATACACCTACAAATCTCAGTGTTGCACTTACCGTTCTTTTTCAAGACACTTCCCAGGTATTTAAACTTCCGCATCTACTTGATTCTAGTGTTCCTGACCTTCAGATCGCATTTTGGGCTCATCCTCTTACTGATGACCATGCACTCATTTTTATAGTTTTCTTGTAATTTATGCTTAGTTCCTTCTTCTCACTGCATCTGTATCACGCTTTCTGATAACATTCTGAGCTTGTTCCAGTGTCTTTAACAATCCTGCACTGTTCTTGTCCTATCTCTGGACTGATTCTGCTGCGCACTCTGTTCATTAGAATACAGATGATGAGTTTTGTCACGTGGCTCATTAGGCTTATTGTTCAGTGGAGTTCACATTCATTTGCACCTGTTTTCTTAGGCATAGCTACAAAGATAGATCTATTTACATTAATTGGGCTATTGTCCTCATTCTAGTTCCATGTGCCCTCAAGGACAATGGCACAGTGGATAAAGGCGTTGGTTAGATCCAGTGACAGGACCCAAACAGTGTGAGTTCAATACCTGGTTAAGGCAGTGGAGAACTTGGAGAGGGGAATTAACAGGAGATAACTGATAACTGACATCCATTAAAAAATATGGCATGTGGAACTAGAACTGTTTACCCCAGTGAGTGAAATAAAGGGTTCAGTTTGACATTCCAACCACCTGAAGAAGGCTGGAGTGTACAACGGCTGAAACATTGTAATAAATATGGCGACAAAGATGAAGACAATAGTCCAAATAATGTAAATAGTGTACATAATACCTCATCTCAGAAATATTATCAGATACTGAAAAATAGATCTGCTGAAGTCTTCTGGTATATCACCGTTGTTGTAGATTTCATTTGTTATTTCAATGATCTTGTCTATGCCAAAGTCATCTAAGGCTGTCAGCATTTCCGTTACAATACCATCTGGTCCAGCTGGCTTGTTTCTGTTCAATTTGACCAGTGTGGTTTTTACTTTGGTTTTCAGAATCCCAGGTCTGTCAGTAGTTCTGTGAATTGCTGGTTGTTCCCTTACATTGGGGAAGAGTTCTCCAATGTACTCATTCCAGCGTTGAAGAATTTTTCCTTTTCTAATATGAGTGTTCCATCCTTTGATTTTAGATAGCCTCTTGACAAGCATGTCTTTTGTCCTGTTAGTTGTCTTATTTGTTTGTGCACATCTCTTTTGTTGGCAGTAATCAATCTTTCTATTTCAGCACATTTTTCATTCAGCAATTCTTCTTCAGCTTGCCTGCATTTGGTCCTTATTTCCTTGTATAATTTTCTGTATTCCGTTCTGTATCTTGGCCGAGTTTTCTGTTTCCTTTCCATCATGTTGAGAATCTTATCAGTCATCCATTCATTTCTCCTTTGTCCTGTCTCATTTGCTGATATCACTAAAGCATCTCTTAGTGTATCCCATTTCAAGTTTCCATTGTGTGCCTCGTATCTTCTTTTCACATTGTCTATGTATTTTTCATTTAGGTTAGGCTCAGGACTTTGTTGAATTGCAGTTTGGGTGCTGCGGTAGGTTTCTTCAATTTTCGCAGTTTCACTCTTAGTTTACATATGAGACGGTGATGATCGCTTCCACAGTCAGCACCACTTGAGCAGTTTTTAGTGAATCATTGCATTCCTGAATCTTTTTTTGATGGTTATATAATCAATTTGGTTTTTAGTTTCTCCTCCTGGGCTCCTCCCTGTCCATAGTCATCTTGGATGTTCTTGGAGCCATGTGTTGGCTATTACCTGGTCATTGGCTGTGCACCATCGGATCCATTTTTCTCCTTGTTCATTGCAGGTTCCTAATCCAAATCTTCCTGCTATATCCCCTGCCCTTTCCCTGCCTACTTTGGCATTTAGATCTCCCATATTTATTTTCATCATAGGTTTAAGTTTTATTATAATTCTAATCATCGCTTTCTAAAACAATAAATATTGCCAAGGAATGGAGGTAGTTAAAATAATAGTGGTGCCAAGCAAAAAACTGTCCTTTCAATAGACTGTTTTTTTGCAGGCACAATGATTAAACATTGCCATTTTAGTATATGTAGTTTTTACTAATTCCCTATATATTTCCATGATTAATGTATGCATGCAACAAAAGACCTTTTTAAAAATATGTCCTTAACTTTTTCCACTTATGTCTACAACCACTTACATTTATCAAGAAATTTAATATTTCAATAAGATTTTTATAAAAAAATTACTGCTTACCTTAATGGCCAAATTACAAGTTGCTGTACACCAAATTTCTTTTTCTTTCATTTGAGACGTCACCTGTTTTTCTAAACGTCGACGTTGCAATTCATACAGTTCATGATATTCAGACAGTATATTTGAATTTCTAGCAGCTTCACTTAGGGCCACCTTCAACTAAAAGAATTTAATTTCCATAAAACAGTTTGTAAGCAGGTATTTAAACTTATGGAAAATATTATAAATTAACTGTTTATGCAACTCATAGAAATGATTTATTAAAAAAAACATGCTGCATCTTTCATTCACACTCATAATTATATATATAGTGATACAGAAGATTCTGGTAATCAGAGAGAAATATTAAATAATAATGACATTTGTATGTATCATCAACTTCATTTGAATCCAGTGGATGTAGGTTTTAGCTTTTTTTTATTGCTGCCTACTGACTTTACTACTACTCCCTCCTTATTTTTAGTCATTTTCTGCACTAACAAAGTAAATATTTCTAATGATAGGAAAAAAACAGATAATTAAATACTTTTTTAGAAAGAACCAGAATGTTGGTGCTTAGGTAAGACTTGCTGACAAAATTGAACTATATTATATGTAGAATATGAAGAAAGAATTATACACAGAATATAAAGATAGAATTACATGAAAAAATATTAAGAAAGAATTATCAAGAAAAACAGTTTTCCATTGATAGTTTTTGGTGTTTTATTTATTTTAATTATTATGACACTACAATATATAATAAGTAACTGAGAGGAAAGAATAATTTTAAAAAGTGTAATAAATGCAGGATTTATTTTAAATTACTAACCTAAAGAAAATTACTGAAATATTTTATAATCAGGAAAAAAATGGAGACAACATTAAACCTATTTCTGTGATTCCATGAAAAAACCTATTTAGAAATGTCCTCAGAAATTTCCACCATTTTCTTGCAACCTCTTACCGAAGGAATATATGTTCTGATTTCTTAAGATATCAGATATCCTCAGCCAACTATATATCTTCTTGTATTCTTTGATTAACTGAAAATTGGTCTCCCTAACAAGTCGCAAAGTCAAAAACTCCAGCTCAAACAATGTATCTGTTGAAATAGAGACATGATTTTTTATGCGTGCTTAATAAAGCTTTAACTGACAAAACTTTAATTCAAATATTGTTTTAATGTGATGTCCACAAAGTCTCCCAAAATAACTAAACTTTGGCTTATCCAACACACTCTGATGGTGGGCTCTTATTATAACTAATGTGCAAGCTGAAATAGTTTGATCTTATTTTTTTTTTATCTAACTTTTTGACATTTCTCTTTTAGTCTTAAAATCTAGACAACATAATTAGAAATTGTGATATATATGTACAGTGCTGTGCCAAAAAAGTGACTCAGTCAAATTTTTTAGGGAAAAAAATTTTTTTTTCTTAATATTTTAGATAAAAAAAGAGTTTTAAAAAGATTTGTGTATAAGTAAAAGGAAATGGTACATTGCAATTTTACAAAAAAATTCTTAAGAAACAAACCTAAGGCATGTTATTTTTTGTTTTTAAGGTAAATATTTACTGTGCCAAAAAAAGTGACTCACTTTTTATACTGTATTAATTATTTACAGAATTAATCTATTTTCTTAAAAAATAAAATTTAGTAAAATAAAAGCACAAAAGAAAAATTTAATTAGTGATGTATGCTTCCACCTTTGTTTTTCAGAACTTTGTTGACTCAGTCCAGCATACACTTAATGAGATTTTTGCATGTGTCTTCTCCTAGCAAACTGCTCCACTCCAACAAAACAAAATTTTCAATCAATGTTTCTTTGTTTTGAATGATTTTCTTCAAAAATCTCAATTTTATTACACTCCATAAATTCCAAATTGGGTTTAGGTCAAAAGCCATACCACAACATTGACATTTTTTTTTTTTTAGTAATTTTTCATCTGCTTTGATGTGTGGCAGGGAGCATAAAAATGAGATTTTGATTGATCAATTTCAAGTTTTTCAGCAGATGGCATCAATCAGGTGTCCAATATTTTTGAGTATTGAGTGCTGTTCAGTGATTTGTCTACTGGTTTGAAAAATCCAGTCCCATTGAATGAGAAGCAACCACAAACCATAAAATTGACAGGATGCTTCACAGTATTCACTGTCATTTTCAAACGGGTTTCTTTGCTCCTCCGTCTGATTTACATTCTTTTGTCTTTTGAAAACATTTCAATTTTTGTCTTGTTGGACATCATTTTTTTTTCAATCAGAATGAAGGACTTGTAAGTATTTGCCCATGCTAATATTTTAGCCTTACGTGTTTTATTTAGCAGTGGTTTAAAAACTTTTGAATAGGCTTTGTAACCTTCATTCCAGAGCCATCTGCATACAGTAGAGGAGTTGACACTTACTTCGAAATCATTTTACAAGGTAGCAGCAATTTCTGTACTGGTAATTGACCGGTTTTGTTTAATTTCTCTAATGATTTTGCAGCTGGTTCTCTCATCGATCTTGTGTTTTCTACCCCTGTTTTCAACCTTGACAAATGTTTCAGTGGAATTGGAGCTTCTCAAAACCCTTGATTGAGAAGTGTTGGCACTATTTGCAATTTCTTGAGTTGATTTACCAGCTTTTGATAGGGCAACTATTGCTACTTTAACAGAGTGCAGTGTGTGCTTATAACTTTTCATTAAAAAATCGCTAATTAATTATATTTTTGGTTTCTTTTATATACTTTAAAATAATTCTAGAGCTTTCTAGAATTTTTAAGAATATTCTGGAATAAAATTATGCAAATAAAATTACAAGGTGTTTTAAAATAACACATTTTTTAATGAGTCACTTTTTTTGCACAGTAGAAAACTTGTTAAATAATCAAAAATGGTTACATTTTTAAGTTTTTTTTTTTAAAAATAATAGTTCTGAATTATTTTTTAATTTTACTAATAATATGTATATTTTTAATTGAAAAAATAAATAAAAAATTTATTTGTAATTAAAGTTAAAAATAAATGAAAAAATTATTGCTGAGTCACTTTTTTTGCATAGTACCTACCATTGGAAAACCACTCCACAATGTTTCCTAAGAAGGTATGGCAATTCACAAAGAAAGGAAATTTGTGGAAAGTTAATGGCCACCTGTACCCAAAAGGGAGATAACATTTCATTTTATAATTAGAAGTATAACATAATTTTAATGAATTAGAAATGAAGAATAATAAAAAAACATTTAGTATGTCAGAATAGGCTTTAATTAGACAAGGTATGGACATGTAATTATTTCATTATGTAAAACAAGTTACATGGCTTAACAGTTTCTTCTATCACACTTCCCACTTATAGAACTCTATTGCTTCCTAGTCAACTTTGATCTTCAAAAATTTAAATGCAATGTCAATCATTATCTTCTGCCCTCTTAATTCTTGTTCTTTTATTGTTCTCTCTCCTTAATAGTATTTTTTCTCATATTCTCCACACCCAGTAACCCCTTGTATCTTAGTGGCTTTATTGTCTTACTTGGGGTGAAATGATTAAAAAAGTAGTATATCCATGAATTCTTGCATGAAGATTAATTAGCATAAATATATTTAGCACAAATGTATGAGAAAAAACTTTTACTATTTATTCAAACTAGAAAGAACACACAGTTTTTAAATAATGGTTTTCAATACAATAGTCAACAACTTAGAAATTGATATAATAAAATTACATATCACAAAAATTGGTAAAAATGTTTAATAACTGTAAATGCCACTTACAAAATTACTTTGGTGGTATGACAGTTTGTGCCTTTAGTATCTTAAAAGCTAAAAGTCATGGCAATCTCACTGATAGAAACTAGAGAACTTTACAATATGAGGGGGTGCTGAAAAATTTTTCTGTTCAATTCATATCCCAAAATCTGGGCATTATTGTGTCACTGTAGCTAGAAAGAGTTTTCTTTTATCTTGCAAAATGCTAGAGCTGAATGGATTAGCCAATTTGTTAAGAGTTGAATTTTATAAAAGAAAATAAATTTCGGACAATTAACTTCAAAGAGGCAAGGGAAATCATGTCATGTAAATAAACTTGAATCATAGTGACTTGGTGTAGAGTCTAGCTGAGATTTCTGAGTTGACTGACTTACTATTAAACAATTTTGGCAAAGTTTAACAAACATATTCACAAAATACGGTGTATCAAAATGATAGATTTTCTCTTGACATTGTTATTACTGTATACTCTGTCTGTCATTTTTTGTGGTTTTAAAAGACTATTTTTAGAATTTTAATAAGACCCAAACATATGAAACTGAATTTATACATTTTCTTTTTTCTCTTTTATGACAACAAAAATGTTAAACATTATGTATTAGATTATTTCCAAGAATAATTTTATATTTAAAAGATTATAAAATTATGTGAACCAACTACAATGCAATATTTACTATTTACCATATTATAAAGAAATAACTATGAAAATAAATTTGTTATTGATAAATTTATAAAAATGTCTGTAAACTATTGAACAAGAAAATTTAAATTATCACATAATGTCAAGTAAATGAAATTATAAATTTTGAAAAATATTTTCCAGGTAGTATATATTTTCTTTTTAGATTATCTTACATCTCAGAGATTATTCCTTATTTTAAAAAATTGAAGAGGGAATATACATTAATTCTGGTGTCAAGAGAGAAAAACTTTTTTTCTTTTTTTTGGATGCATGTTTGTTAAAATTTGCCAAAATCTCTTTTTGTAATACTTAACAGGCTCATAAATTAAGTTTTTATTTTATTTTGTCAACTGTGATTGGTTAAAAAATACAATTCAGGGTTTTGAAACGATGCCATATGCTCAATAAATGAAAGATTTATCTGTTATTCCTAAACAAAGAAGTTAGTAACACATGCACACACACAAATACATATAGTTTATATCTTACATTCTGAAAGAGTTATTAGAAAATTCAACTCTTCAGGTTGCCATTTCAACCATCATAACATCAATGCCTGTGTTTCTCTACTTTGATATTTTCCTTTTATTTTGATTTGATAATTAATTATCAAAAGATTTGTAATTTCTTAATTTTTTTGATAATAAATTATACATTTTAAAGTAGTGATTATCACAGTTGACTATTGCTAAATATATCCCAGCATTTAATCTAATTTGTAGATACTTCAAAAAGCCACACTTTATTTTGCATGAAGATTTCAGGTATTGTAATACTGCCCCTAGCCTAAAAGCAATGGCAAACATTATATACATATGTAAATGGCAGGTCATCATTGTTAGTAAAAGTGAAATGAAATGGAATAAATTTAAACAAGGCTATATCTTCATAATTTTATATAAACATTGATTAACATAGGAGAGAAAATACACTAGTATGCATGCAAATATAGCTGAAAAGAAAGACATGAAAAGTTAGCAATTAGAGATTGCGTTTGTCTGTATGTGTGAGTGATATCAATGCATATATATGAAAGATATCTCCATGTCTGAGAGAAGATCCTGTGCTAGTGTTGACACTACCACATGCTAAAAGGAAAAAGAGAAAAAAAAGACAGAAGCAGGGAGTGACCTGTTTTTATAGCTGTTTAACAGTGCCATCTAACAGCATCTTGACAAACTTGGCAAAGCCAAATGGGGGTAACCTACATGACTGTTACTTCATAAAGAGTTTCAAAAAGGGAAAGAAAACAATGAAAACGTAAATCAAAGATGGAGAGATTAGCATAATTACTCAGATAAATTCTATATTTTCACCAAAGAAAATAACATTTATATAATTTATATATTTATGTAGAAATTCAATGAAAAATGTCTTCATTGAAAATATGACTTTGATTTTATCCGGAAAGAACTATAAAAAATTAGAACCTATTTTGTATCTGAGAAATCTTCTTTTTTTACTTTTTGACCTCTTCTAGAAAAGAAAAAGATTTTGCATGCTGATTTTCACAGCGAGCATGTCTTGAAGAGAATATTAGTACATAATTTTCCTCCTCTGATTTACTGTCATTTGGCCTTATTCTACATTTTTTAATGCCATGTCTGTTCAAGATGTAGGCAAACAGATTCTTTTTCTTTAGTATCTGTCAATTGCCATGCGTTCTTGGGAAAGATAGTGGAGTAATTGTCAGACAATAGAGTGGGTGAGTGAGCATCACTGAATAAAATTAGTGCCCAAAAAGCTGTTTCACCCATTTCCAACCTTGACAGAAGCCAGCGACTACTCAAAAGTTTTGAGAAGATACTTACTCTAACACCTAGTTTCCACCATTTCCTTTGAAATAGTCCTTCTGAATGTTTGTATTCTTGATCTTAAAGGATACTGCTCACAAAAGGGAGCAGCAAAAGTCTGTACAATATTTGGTGTTTGTGCACTATTCAAATTTCATTTAATTTTGGGTAGCACCTTTTATGATGGTCAGCTGGAAAGTTCATAGAATGACCAAGATATAAATGTAAGTAGACACACCAGTTGTTAGACTAAAAGACATGTAAGAGTGCCAGAATAGAATAGCTGGTCAGACAGTTGTTTGTAAATAAAACTACAGTACAGACAACTCTTTAAGAAGTCAGGGATCGACTTAACACTGTATTTATATTATGAACAGCATTCCCTCTTTTAAAATGATAAAAATCAATATTTTTTATTCTAACAAATGCCATGGCTTAGGAAAGGTCTAATGAATGTTAATCTACAAAAATTGTTAAAAAAATTCTTCCCTATTTTTTATAAGTGGGCCAGTCAGTTTAAATAGTGCCCACATTTTGGTGAATTACAAATGACTACAATCTGATGCAACTTACAGCTTTTCTAGTGTTGTCTACTTCTCTTGCAAGTTGAGAATCATGCTCTTTTACTTTGGCCAATTCCCTACAAAATTAAAAGAAAAAGAAACCATTAACAGGAATATTATTGAAAATGCTTAAAGATATAAAAATATCGACAGAGTAGAAAGTGTTGTCTAAATCTGTATTTAGTTGTTCAGCAGGATTTGCCAAGCAAAAGCAGCTTAGGACTGCTTATTGATTAAGATTAATTTTTTAATTACACTAAATTTTAAAGTTTGAGAAATTGCTGACTCATCATAGAAAATTACACAATTTTATTCACTTATATTTGTTTATTCAATCATTTTTGGCATCAGAATATTGATTCTATATTAAATTATTTTGGAAACATATTTAAAAAGTAATTCAGAATAAGTATTAAATTCAAATTTTCAGTCTCAGAACTGTCACCTGCAAATGATTGAATATGAAATGATTTAAATATAGAAAAAAAATTTAAGAATTACATTAAAAGGGAATGTGTAATTATTAGTTCCCAGTTACTCATGAATAAAGAATAATTGAAGAGGAACTACATTAGGCTGAGGTAAATGTTGCCAGCATTTTTGACAAAATCTTTTATTAATATAAAATCATTTCATCTTGTCCAATCATTAAAGTATTTTCTTTGGCTTTTTATGAGTTTATGCCATTCTTTTGGGTGGCATATTGGCTCGCAAACAGATATTGGATAATGCAAGACAAAAACAAACAAAACGAAGACTAAAAAATATATTGCCAAGTTTATTTTTGTTAAAGAAAATACATTGACAAGGACAGTTTTTTAGTTGTCAAAAAGTGTTGTCCTGAAAAGGACAGTTTTGTGGCCACTGAAGAATGTTGTCCTGAAAAGGATATTTTTGTAGTTGTTGAAAAGTGTTGTCCTGAAAATGATAGGATGACTGGCTGGAGGCCTATGGCAAGCTGGAGTTGAGGCTGATGATGATGATGGTTGGCTGGAACTTTGATCCTAGTCATCTTGAACACATAATGCTGCTTTTCAAGCTTTGAGGCCTTTGAACAGTTTTACAACAATCACTGGTCCTGGAAAGTTAAGCTTCTTTTTCCTGTTGTTTTTTTAAAAATATAGGAGTGCCAACAGGATATGACACTGCCCATGGTATTCTCAGCATTCATCAGTAGAACAACTCTGGCACTTTGTCTCTTTTCTTCTGTGGCTGACTGATTATGCAAGCAAGAAAGTGCTGAGTAAACTTCAAAGACACTTTTAACATTTCCCTAAATTTGGCATTATTTAGTTTTGCATTAATTGGAGGCAAGTAAGTGGGTTTTTGTGAGGATAAAAGAAGATATCCAAGAACAAAGGCAATTTATATATGGTCAGCTTCAGATTGATTAAGACATTTTGGAAGCATTATCCATGATACTTCTAGTTGAACACTGGTTTATTAAAAAAAATTTTGTTAATCATTTCACTCCAAGCAAAGCAATAAAGACACTAAGATGCAAGAAGTTACTAAGTGTGAGAGAATACGTGAAAAAAAGCCACAAACATGAATAAATGTACCCACAATAAGATGTAGTGTCAAAAAGATGGTTTTGCCCATGACACCACCTTTTTTTTAACAACCTTCACTCTTCGGCAATGTCAATAGTTTTAAAAAACAACCTAGCAATGAGCTCAATGTAGTCTTTACTCTCCATGTCAATAAAGAATGATTACTCGAGAAGGTGCAATGAATTACTCTCCTGGAGGTTAGCATCAGCCATGCTGCTGGAAGGAAGAAAGGGGTCTCTCAGATGACTAATAGAAAGCAGTTTTGTTTTAGAGGTATTAAAATTAACAAGTCATTCTTTGTCCTAGTTAACAACAGACAGTAGGTTGTTTTTGAGTTCTGCCACCAATTTGACTTAATCGAACTGATCAGATTTAGTATTGAGATAGGAGTAAATGGTTGTGTCATCAACATAGATACCAAGTTGTGAGCTGATGTCATCATGAAGGTAGTTAATGAAAATTAAAAATAAAGTAGAACCAAGGATAGAGTCCTGGGGGACACCTGCATTTTGTTTGTTTCCAATACATATTGTAATTTATTTTATATACTTTCCAAGTGAATAATGCTTTTCTAACATTTCAAGAAGTTCTTCATGCTGTACCTAATCAAATGCCTTTAAAAATTGCATTGATAAATAGATAGATTGATAGATAGCAATACATATGAACAGACTGAGATAGATAGATAGATAGATAGATAGATAGATAGATAGATAGATAGATAGATAGATAGATAGATAGATAGATAGATAGATAGATATGTAATTATTTAGAGATGATAACCCATCTCTTAAAAATCAAAATTCTGAATCTCTCTTGACATTGTTGATGAGTTCACAATAATTCTCAGCATAATAAAGGAGATTTAAATGACAAATTCCATGGCAAGCAAACCAACAATGTCTTGTATCAGACTTGGCTGAATATTGTAAAGTAATGGTTCCTGAACTTCTAGCTGTCACCCACTTGATACCCAGGCTATATCCCTAGTGTCACCTATATGAAGCCATTTCTTTATTGGTATTATGTATAATGCAAAACAACTAATCTAATACAGTAAATACATTTGTATATTTCAGTTTTCCTTAGATAAGATATTGCCAAATGAACATTCATGGTTATAGCTACAAACCTAGTGTCCCTACTTACATTGGCTGTCTGATCTGGTAAAATGTGGCAGATCCTGTCCAAACAACATCAAAAGATATAAACAAAAATTCACATTTTTAATAATGTTCACCCTTTACAAAGCCCAGAAGCCACGTGAGGTAGAGAGTTACAGAGTAAGAGGCACAATTTATGGAGATATGTGGGGAAGATAACAGTTGACCCTAGAGTTGAAGAGGTTAAAAATATTGTAGTGATTAGCAAAGCATCCGCTTGAGAGTTGGTTCCACAAAACAGCAGTTCATGGCAAGAAGCTGCTCAAGTGGAACATGCATCTTACCAATATTAATTTTATATTAAAGCAAATAGGTCCATTAAGTGTAACCAAGATTTTGTCATATAGATTTTGTAAATAAGAGGATAAAAATTATTATTTGATTTTAATGCCACCCTAGTGCCCTTTAATGTCTCCCTTTTTCCTCACTGAACTCTGGTTCTTACCAGTGCTCCTGGGAGCAAGGTATTATCCACTTTGGGAATCCCAATATTAAAGTATTCAAACAAAAACTTCTAAAGAAATACAATCTAAAGCAATACTTGGCAGACAAAATTGCACTGATTTTCATCTTGTTTTGTTTTGATAAAATTGAATAATCAGTTTTTATAATCTATTTTTCCTCACTGTATTTGTGCTTCTTTAGTGATAACATTAATGAAAAATACCAATAGCCAACAACAGATGTATATAAAACTGATAAAGAACATTTTAAAGAAGAATCAATAACATTACTCACAATGTCAGTTTGTTAAGGGAATTCTTAAAACTGAACAGTTCTTCTGTAAGTCTTCGGTCAAGTGCTCTCTGTGCAATAACTTCTTGGTGCAGACTGAAAAACAGATTTCAAAATCTGAGATATGACATAAATATCTTTTTTTAACACTTTCAGGACAGATTCATTTTCTTTATTATCCCACACATGTACAGTATTTTACATATTTATAAGACTGGCTGAAATTTCAGCTAATGAACGTTGAATTTAGCTGATCGGCAACTGTATTATGTTTTGCATACATATACTATGAGAAAATTTTTATGTAAGTAAAGAAAAGACGGAGTCTCTCTCTCTCTCTCTCTCTCTCTCTCTCTCTCTCTCTCTCTCAACACACCATGAGCTATAAACTATCTCACAAAAAGGATACAAGTTTGTATTTGTATTTAAAAAAAAAAAACTCCCAAAACAATGTTCACCAGGTATTCATTCATTTTGAATATAAAACCAACATTTTGTGCCAACCTCTACAATGACAATGAATCAAGCTACACTTTTAATCATACATAAATGATACAACTTCTACTTCAAACTTGTAAAAAGAATAAATAAATAAAAACCTATGAAACATATCTTGAGAAAAAAGGAAAAATAAATGATTCTAGGAAGAAAAATAACCCAAAATGATTGCATGTAATCAGCCAAGTCTTTGCAACAAGGAGATATTCTATTATTCTATGAGAAAAAATACATAAGATCAGCAAAAATATATGATTAATATATCATACATATATAGTGCTATGGGAAAGTGGTATGCACCTTGAAATTTGTTACAGTTATATCTTAAATTACAACTAATTTACAATACAGTGTGATTTCTGAAAATGTAAAAAATGATTTTTTTTAATTTAATCTGGAGTGTTTAATCAATGGTAATATATGGCTCCTCTGTGGACCACAAGATTTACTTTAAAGAAAACCCCTCTTAATGACCAATGCAGTAGCAGGCCAAAAGGCCAGATGTGATGTTGCCATCACTGCCATGATTAATTCTCTTATCACGACTGTGACCTCACCCAAACTTCATAAATCTCACCTAACTCTTCACACACAGTATGCAGCTGACAAGCCAGCTTTGACACTGCCAGGCTCTTGACACCAACCACTGTGATTTCTAAGATTTGAAATCATCACCATCCAGCTCTAAGCCTCCCTTGTAATCACCATTGTGACCCCATTTTATTGATTCAACCAGAATCCAACAAAGACATTCTGCTTGACCCACTCCAGGCCTCCATTTGTTATAACATATATATATATATATTTTATGCACACACACCAACAGAGGCTCAAATTTGCTATAATGTAATGCTATGTTGATAATCCTTCACATAAGTGGCATAAAAGTATGTCAAGGTTCTGCTTCACTTAAACAGCATAAAATAAAAATATAAATTTTATATCTTTAAATGTTTTAATTTTATAAATGTTCTTTATTTAAGTAATTTAATGTTGCATGATAGACCAAGTGCCCTACAGTTAATTGTCAATCCAGATGAATTTTTATGAAGATATTTTGCAAGAAGATTAGTGCTTATTGGAAATCAGCAATCATCTTAAGGAGCCTATAACTAAGCTGCATTGGTTAAGTACAACGACGGCTCATTCAAAACAGCCTACATTGCAACCTGCTAAATGCCTATCATGAAGCAACAGATGGTTATCACTGGTATTGCAAATCTTGTAAACATCATTGAAGTGTCAGAGAAGATTCATTCTCTACTAATAGCAGGTTGTCACTAAAGCAACTGATCTGTTATGTCTATTACTGAAGTTTCAAATATCCCATATTTTCAGCATTTATTTACTGTGTAGTCCACCATTAACTATTGTAATAATGTTTAATTGTAATAAACATATGTACCTTGGTCTTATTGATTTTATGCTGTTCAGGGTATAGCAGTTTATTTTACACTGCTTAAGTGAAGGATTGCCATATATTTATGTGCATGTTGTATTTTAAAATAAAAAAAAAAATACAATTTATATATATACTTTAATTATTATAATTAGAACATGGCTCAGTGTCCAAAGAATTATAGTACATATTTTCCTTTACCTTTTTATTTGGTTGGGGACCCTGTTCAGAAGATTACTGTAACGTTTTCTGATTTCTGCCAGAAGATCTCCACGTTCAAGACAATCCACACTGACCTTAAATGAAAAAATAACAGTTACAATAAATAAAAAGTATTTATCAGTAGATGAAAACCTTATATGAAAAATTCTTACTATCTTTTAAGATTTATGATCCTATGAACAGTAGTTCCAGTAAACAAATCAAATCAAAACCACTAATTAAGAAATAAATATATAAGATTTATTTAATTGTGATTTTAGTTTGCTTTTTTAATCAAGGAATTAATCTTCTTTTTAAATGTTCATATATTAAATGACATAGTGTGAGACAACATCAAACAAAAAACAGGCCCATTATGAAAACATTATAGCCATTGTCAAGAAGAGGAAGTTGAAATGGTATGGCCACATCAGAAGAGCCAACAATCTGTTCACTCCAATCCTACAAGGTACTACCAGAAGAGGTAGAGGAAAAAATAGGCTGATAATGTTAATGAATGGATCCTTCACAGAAATTCAGACATTGGCATGAGATGTAAAGAGTGTTGATCAAGTGCTCAACTGTGCAGCAATCCTGTGTACATAGCTAGTCATGGCACTCATGATAATGATGATGGTGGTGGTGGTGGTAGTTAAATTTTATTCTAAAATTATTCTGGTTTATTATTTTACTATTTAAACATTTGGAAGCAGTTGATGACATATTTTGCAAGGAATTTCTTTGACCAAGGTCTTAGATAAGCAGTGAATCTGAATTCAAGACATTTCATAAATGGTAATGAAAGTAGTGAAAGAAATGATTGTTCTGGAACAGATAACAATATATTTCACCAACATAGCATCATTGTTTAACTAGTTAAAAATGTTTTGTTCTACAGCAGTTTTGTATATTGTAAATTTTCTTATAGAGATTATTTTTAAGTGTCATGGAAAGTTTTGTAACATTTAAAAAGTTAACACCCAAATCAAGTCATGGAACCTTCATGTAGAAAATTAAAAGACAATATGAGATTAGCAGATAAAAAGATTTGAAAACTAGTTTCAGAGTGTTTTATCAATTCCAACAATATTAGAAAGCCATTTACAATTACTTTAAATCAGCTAATTACAGGTTCTTAACTTTCAATAGTAAGTGTCAAGAAATAAAGCAATCTACTGAAGTATGTGAGAAACAAGTTTATATTCATGGCAGAAAATGAAGTTAATTTTACAACTCACTGAATTTCATTTGTTTATTTAGTATATTTTTGTGCTTCTTATTCATAATTCATTAAAGACTTTCTACCTGGACATAAGAATGTCTCCAGAAGTATTAAAATGTTTGATAAGAACTATTTAAATATAAAAGGAAAAAAAAAAATTGGTGGTTCTGACCTGCCGTATTAATTCATGGAAGATAACGTTGTAAATGTTCTGTTCCTTTTTTATCAGCTCCAGAAGGTTGTGAATCTAGATTAAAAAAAATATATACTTATTGACAAAAGTGTTAATAGAATTGAAATGGAATATCAAGAGAAGCACAATATCAGAAGTAGCACTGTCTACAGACAAATCAACTAATCTAAACTAATCTATTTATACCAGTCGCTGGTATTCAAACTGTTTACTATTTTTCTTTTATTACAAGAATTGGCTGAAGTCTGAGGGACTTTCTGATCAAGTTTCTTAAATCTCACACATGGGTATAATTACTAAATAATTACTGATAAATAATTGCTCAACAAATATTTAAAATATTGAAAATAATTTAAAATAACATCTTTACTTAAAAAGTAAATGTTATTTCAAATTATTAAATACTTTAATAGTTTTATTAAATAGTTCAATAGTGTTACAGTGAAATATAATTGTCCTACCCATGGTGCTCTCAACCCGAGGTTCCCCTGTTTATTTGCTGAAAACAACAGATTTGGAGGAGTAAAAATTGAAATAAATCTTGCCATGACCTGGGTGGTAGTTGGTTTTGGTGGCAGTCTTTGATAAACAGATGTCGTGGTACTGTTGCCACAGTAGTTCATAAGATAATCCACCCAGTTATGCATACAGCCCAGATGTGGGAATGGCGATTTTCTCAAATGCTGCAAAGATTTGAGCTGGGATGATAGTTAGGACAGACAGTCCCATGAAAACTTTGAAACCAATAATATGGTTAGTTCACTTACAAAATCAATGATAGGCAGTGCTGGTAATGTCTTGGTTGACTCTTGGGTGCAGGAGGCAGGGTCTGGCCATCATTGCAAATCCAGCAAGCACCTGACCAAGTTCCAGGTTGCCTCACTTAATGTGGGTACCCTGAAAAGGAGAAGCAGTGAGAAACCCTCACTAGGAAAAGAATAGACATCTGTTTTGTTCAGGAACACAGATGGTCAGGAGGACTGGAGGTCAATCAAAACCATCATTTCAAAGGCAGGAGCTCCCACTATAAGTTCTTCTAGTGTGGAAACAAGGATGGACGAGGTGGTGCTGGCATTCTGTTGACTAAAAGATGGGTGGTAAAGGTCCTTGATGTTCAATGGATCTCTGATGGAATCCTACTATTAAGACTGGTTGTGGGCAGAGGGTCTCTCTCTCTCTCTCTCTCTCTCTCTCTAAGTCAGTCGTCCGGACACAAAAAAAGGAGCACTTCTATGTCCAGTTGCAAAGCCTGGTTGCTGGAGATTCTCATACTAATTGGGAATTGAATGGGCATGTGGGTGCCTGTGCCAATGACTAAGAAGGTTCATGGTGGTCATGGTTACAGGGTAAAAAAACACTAAAAGCAAGAGAGTACTGGAGTTTGCCTTGGCAAATGATCTGATCATTGGCAATACTCAATTGTTGAAATGAGAATCACACCTGGTAACCTTCAGTTCTGACAGTCATAAATCACAGATTGACTATATCCTATATCACAAAAGCTTCAGCAAATTGGTCTTGGATGTCAGAGTTATACCTGGTGAGGAGTGCACATTGCAATATCACCTGCTAGTTTACAACTTTAAAGTTTCTGTACCAAAACTCAGGAAACACATTCAACCTGCGCCTTTGAACCTGGAGGCTTTGCAATCTGACTATTGCAAGCAAGTTTCAAACAGCCTATAATGCTAAATTGGAGGCCTTGCAGACTGGCATTGATGCTGTACCAAATGTGGAAGAGATCTGGTCTAAGCTGAAGACACCTTTGCTGGGGGTGGCCAATGAGGTACGTGGTACCTCCAAAAACCATCAGTGAGAACTGGAGACCTGGTGATGGAATGGCCAAATTGATGATGCAGTCACTGAGAAAAAGTCATGCTACAGGTGGTAGCTATAGGTGGCACTTGTACAGAGGCAACTACAGAAACCTCAAGCTCACTGATCATTTGATGAAACTGCTGGAACGTGTGCTTGACTCCTACATCAGATAAATGGTCAATATAAATGAAATGCAGTATGGTTTCATGCTAGGGAGAGGTACCACTGATGCAATTTTCATTGTGCGTCAGCTGCAGGAGAAATTCATTGCTGCTGTGAAACCTCTCTTCTTCAAATTTGTGGATCTGGAGAAGGTGTTTGATCATGTTCCAAGAAAAGTGATCTGGTGGGTCATGAGAAGACTTAGAGCTGGGGAATGGGCTATTTTTGTGGTTCAGGGCATGTACCTCAATGCCAGAATCAAGTTAATATCAATAGTCAATATAGCAGGGAATTTGATGTTGGTGCTGATGTTCATCAAGGTTCAGTCTTCTTGAGTCCACTGCACTTCATTCTTGTGTTGGAGTTGCTCTCTCGGGAGTTCTGCACTGGTGTACCATGGGAACTTCTATATGCTGATGTCTTTGTATTAATTTCTGACGCTGAAAACCTGTAAAGCAGGCATGGAAAGCAAGGGGCTCCGTGACAACATGAAAAAGACCAAGTTTATGATTTCTAGTGTTGACCTGGACAAGTAGCGGGAATCTGAAGCATTTCCCTGTGCTATTTGCTGCAATGGGGTGAATATGAATTTGATCTTGTGCTCCAAATGCAACACCTGGGTGCACAAGAAATGCAGTGGCATCACTGGTAGGCTAACAGAGCTACCAGATTACATCTGCCCTAGATGTTGTAGCAAAGTGTGCCCTATTGATGGCAGGCCCACTACCCAAGTCACATTGGACAGATCAAAAATGGATATTGAGCCCTGTTTCTATTATCTTGGGGATATGCTCTGTGCAGGTGGAAATTGCAAGCTCACCATTATAACCAGGTGCTCTGTGACTTGGGAGAAATGCAAAAAGCTCCTACCCATCCTCACATCCAAACACATATCATTGAGAACTTGTGGCAAATTGTTCTCTGTGTGTGTACCATCTGCACTGCTCCACGGCAGTAAAACTTGGGCACCAAGTGCATCAGTCTTGTTGTGTCCACACTGCAATGACTGGTCAATGATTCACTGGATCTGCATCACAAAGCCTCGGTATGAAACCCCCTCTTCCAAGTTGTTAATAAGGCTCAGTATTGAGGATATAACATCATTGCTGCACACCCATCGTCTTGGGTGGTTTGATCACATCCAACGAGCTTCATTATGCATCATGACTGTTTCAGAGTTCAAGGTTCCTGATCACAGAGGGTGAGATAAATCTAGGAAGATGTGGAAGGACTGCATTAGCCCGCTTAACAGGGATGATTGGAAAGAAAGAGAGATCTAGCTGACTGCTGCCTACCCAAGTCACTGGGAAATCCACATCAGTATAATCAAAGCTCTGGATCTTGACTTGAGTTTAAAAAATAGTTTATTTGATAGTTTAAAAACCCCTTGAAAACAGAAAATGAATAAATGCACGATAATAATGAACATATCCATCCTACCCACTTCAATACTAACTCCTCTGTATAAAAGGCTGTTTAACTACTAACAATCAGTTTAGCAGAATAAAGCTTCTAGAAATGATATTCAGCATTGTCTATTCCTTACAAAATGCTATCATAAAATGAATATAATCATAAAATTATATACTTATATTGGGTTGGAACAAAAGCTTGTATCATCTTTCAACTGGTCGCATTTGAACATGTGGATTTGTTTATGACATTATGATGAGTGAAATTTCAACATGTCTTTCTATAGGATTCATGTATGGATTGTGAATTTTAAATGTTTTTATGTTAAAAGTGAAAATGGAGAAAAATTAGATCCATTTTTGTCATTTGATGTTCTCCTATTTCTGAAATGGGAAAAGTACTGTACAAATAGCAAAAACATATGTGCCATTTATGGAGATGGTGCCATACTCGAGAGTAACATTTGTAAGTAAGTGGTTCACTAGGTATAGAAGTAGAAAATTTTGATCTGGAAGAGCAAGATCATTTCAACAGACCTGCAGTCATTGATGAAAACCAAATCAAAACTGATTAAATATAATGTTAGTAACATAACATAAGACATTGCAGAGATAATCCACATATCTTATTTGAGCACTGTAAAGCATTTGAAAACATTTGGATATGTGAATTCTTATGATGTTTAGATGTTTCATGATTTAACAAAAACAAAATTAGTAATCTTTAACCTTTATGCCTGCAAAAAAATTGTAGTGTCAAATGGACAGTTTTTCCCTTCATACCACTATTATTTTAACTAGCTTCACTCCTTGACAATGTTTAATGCTTTAAAAAGAGATGATTAGAATTTTAATAAAACATAAACATATGAAAGTGAATTTATACATTTTCTTTTTTCTTGAGAATTGACAACAAAATTAATAAGCATAATTTTTCAGTAAACAATAAACAATTAATCAATATGAGTGATATCATTTGAGTTTTTGATCCAATGATATTACTTATATTGAATAATCAGAAAAATCGCACCACATCATACTTATTCCAAATGAAATTTCAACTTTGATTAGTGTAGCGATTGGCACTTTATCTTCTATTATTAGAAAATATTTGATCTGGCTATCATCTCTTGAATATATTTGGTGTGGCTGATACCACTGATTATGTCAATGGCAGCTTAAAAATTGAATGACATACAAGTGGAAAGATATACATATACAGCTAAAAGATCAAAGAAAATTATTCATTTTTATTTGAAGACTTACAGGTTATCTTGACCTACCTGTGTTGGACCTTTGACTTCCACTTTCAAATTATTGATTCCTGCTTTGTCCAACATGTCAAGCATTGTATTCCTCAGTTGGACCACTTCATATCGACTATTAGGTTTCCTGAAATAGAACACAACACCAATCTGTTGGTTTTCTCAATACAGAACCTACTTTTTAACCAAGAAACATCATTATTAATGATTATTCATTACAAGCAAAATTACTTAGTACTGTCCAAATTAAAAGAAAATGATAGCATTAAAGAATAGAAATAAATGAAACAAACTTAAATAAACTGTACACATTACTGCAGAATAGTTTTTTTATTTTATATTTACATTCACTTCTAAGAAACCCAAATCTAATTTTACACTTCTCTCATTGTCTGAATTTGTCAGTTAAGTGATAAGTTATAAATTACAATACCAAAGGAATTATAATGCTTATAGTTTTGAACATAAAGAAACAATAGTAGAAAAGACAAGAAATCAAAATTATATTAAATCATTAACAAACTTTCCTTCATTGTATATTAATTGTGCACTGAAACTGTCACTAAGCTTCTATCAAAATATGAATGAAAACATTTTTTAAACAAAGAGCTCCATCTGCCTGTGGATGTGTGCTAAAATCCAGAAGAATAGCACATTTTCTTCTGCTTCAGAATTCAATTATGGTCATATTGTGTGATCTTAACAAAGTTAGGAACAAGTCAAAGTTTTTGATAATTTTTATGATTTGTAATCAAACAAAAATATCTACTCTGACAAAACAAATTGAACACTGCTTTCACCAAGATTTGATCTGATAAATATTGTTTGAAAAGAGTCATTATCATCATTCCAGGATTTGTTAAGTATAATAATTGTTATGGGAACTTACCTATAACAATAGAGGACTCTTCCTGACACTATAAATACTGCGCCTCTCAAGAGGTATAATGAATGAATGGTGTAACAAGTCGAGACAATATTAGTTCACTCTAAACCAGACGGACAGTCATTACTAACACCTTCAACTTCTTGTACTATATTTCTGTTGTAATATATCTTTGTTATTCTACTCTTGTGTTTGTGTTGTTCTTCCTTGGTTCTCACCTTGGGCCATAACTGTGGTGCAAGGATATTGGATCATAACAATAATGAATTATCGCAGAATTTCATGAACAAAAGAAAAAAGATGTAGTAGTATCTGTAGTCATTCAAGATTGTAGTACAAGTTGTCACATTCACATTGAAACAGTCTGATTGATTTTGGGTTTAGTTAATTGCTTTTGGTTGCCACTGTTGGTATCAATATTATACACTTACCCACTTAACTAAAAAAGAACATTAGGCTGAAGACTCAAAAACTCCACTACCTAATTACACTAAAGGTAGTGTAAAAGTTGTTTATTCTAGTTCAGTTAAAGAGAGGTTTAAAACTCTGTTTTTTGTATTGAATTGACCTTCAGGACACATGGCCTAGTGCAGTGGTGCCCAAACAGTTTGGCATGCCTCATAGCTGTGACAGAAGAGGATAGTAGGTGCAGCAGAATGATTGAAAGACAATCAAAGATTTAGAAAATTCCCAAAAATAAATACAATTTCAAAATTTAAAATATTATTAATGATTACTTGTAATTGCATGCATGAGTCCCAGTATAAATAGTTATAAATAATTACTGACCGATTTTATCATTGTGATGTTTTTGCATTATATCAATTATTAAGAATATAGTAACTAGTGTTTGCAAATTGGTGGAGGGAGTTATCAATGATAATGTTATGCTTCAAAACCGTGGTTATCTCCCTTTAACTCTCTCTCTCTCTCTCTCTCTCTCTCTCTCTGGACCTTCTTTGCTGTAGGGCTGCTTGCTCCTTTCAACTGGTTCTTCTCTCTGGCGAGGTGCGAACAAATTTTCATTCCGAAAATGTGTCCCAGACAAAAAAAGTTTGGGAACTACTAGCCTAGTGGATAAAAGCACTGGTTAAGTGGATCTAGTTGTTGGTTTAGGAAATGCAAAAAGTCATATGTACCCTGGTTCAGTGCAAGAGAGATGTGATATCCCAAGGACAAATTAACTAGAACGAATTAACTGATATGAGATTTTATGTAACATGCATAGAAGAAGAAGAAAATTCAATGAATATAAAAAAGGGGTTGATTTGTAATTCCCAGAAAGTAACTGTAACAGTAGCTTAGGAACCACTTCCCCATGCACACTCAATGAAAACCACTTAGCATAGGAATACAACTAGAGGAACACTTCACTTGGAATTCTGAGAATAGCCAATGTGCTCCCTAACTTATTGACTGTAAATAAATATTAATAAAATATATTAATATAACTCTACCTTTCACTCAATACTTAACAACAACCAACCTTACAGTAACCAACTATGACAGACACCTGAGGAGGTCATAGGGTACAATGGATGAAATGTTACGACTTTAACAACCAAGATGAATCTAAGTAAATCAGTGTATTGTTGTGAATATGGATTATCTCCTCTTAGATAATCCAAGCTATAAAAGCTGTATACTTCCGCTGTCAAGTCAGATGAGTAGTAGTATTCTTAATTGAATAAACGATTACTAGACAGAATCTCTTGTCCTGTTTTCATTACATTTTATTCAATTAAGAATGGAACAATTTATGCGACCTGAGCGACTTACCACAGATCCAGAAAGCGATTCAGCCGACAAGTGCTGGAAACATTGGCGGGAGACATTTACAAATTTCATCGAGGTTCTACATTCAGAAAGACCGGGACGTCCCATCAATAAGCCAAGGCGGTCCTAACCAACTACCTGTCTCACACAGTCAACGAAATTATCTCGGATTATGTTACCTACGAAGAAGCAATCGATGTACTGAATGCTACATACATAAAGCCCCAAAATGAGATATTTTCTAGACACCTACTTGCATCAACGACAAGAATCAGGCGAGACATTGACCATTTCCTTAAGAGCCTTCGGACACTGAGCAAAGATTGCAACTTCTGCCCAATGACGGCATTAGAGGCCCAAGAGCTACACATTTTGGACGCCTTCATTAACGGCTTACGCAATACTCAGATAAGACAACGTCTTCTTGAGAATAAGACCCTTACACTTAAAACAGCTTACGAGCAAGCCTATATCTTCGAAAGTGCTATACAGCAGTCTAGTTCTTATTTTCTTCTAAAACTCTACAAATCCACTCGTCAAAATACTTCTGCAACTTTAGCCGCCTCCCCCGACTGCCTTTCAAAAACTATTGTAAAAGTGAAAATTAACTGCTCGATACCGGGAGCTCAGGAAATTTTATCAAAGCTTGGTAAAAACCAACAAATTGTATTTTGTCCCCTCCCCAGCAGAGTAACAATGGCAAACGCGTCATTGTTCTGCGCGCAAGTAAGTGGTTATTGTTTGGTGGACTTACTATTTAATGACGTCTCCTATAAAACCACTAAATTATCCGTAATGAAAAACCTTTGTTGCGAAATAATACTGGGACACGATTTTTGCAGCAACACTCACAGGTTGAAATTCCGTTTGGTGGTTCAATGCCCGCATTGAAAATTTGTGGATTGGCGACAGCAAAAATCCAGTACCCATCACTTTTGAAAAACCTAACTGAAAAACTGCAAACCCATAGCAGTGAGAAGCAGACGTTTTTCTTATAATAATAAAAAATTCATTGACTCTGAGATAAAAAGACTACTTGAGGAGGGTATAATTGAGCCTAGCAAATCACCCTGGAGGGCTCAGGTAGTTATAACCACTTCTAGCAACCATAAAAAAGAGAATGGTTATAGATTACTCCCAAACCATAAATAGATTTACTCTTTTGGACGCCTTCCCACTACCCAGGATAGATGAAATGATAGGCGAAATAGCCAAATATCATATGTTTAGCACTCTGGACTTGAAAAGTGCGTACCATCAGATCGCCATTAGACCTAGAGACAAGCCATACACTGCTTCGGAGGCGAACGGTCGACTATATCAATTTCAAGAGATTCCTTTTTGGCGTTACGAATGGGGTAGCCAGCTTCAAAGGATAGTCGACCAAATCATAATGGATGAGAAACTGGAAGGCACATTTGCGTACATAGACAATGTCACAGTATGTGGCCATAATAGAAAAGGAACCCGACGAAAATCTCAGGCGGTTCATGTCCGGCCGATAAATACAACCTTACCCTAAACGGCGACAAATGCTCGTTTGGACTGGACAAAATAAACCTGCTGGGGTATACCATAAGCAAAGGTTTTATGGCACCGGACGCAGATCGATTGAAACCTTTACTCCAGATGCCTGTCCCTCACAACCAGCCTTCCCTTCGACGTGCTATGGGCATGTTTGCTCATTACTCAATGGATTGCTTCGTTCTCAGAAAAGATACATCCATTGACACAAGTAGAGACATTTCCTCTGTCCCATCAAGCCGTTGAGGCATTCGAGGGACTGAAAAGGATATTGCAAAATCTGCAATTACAACAATAGACCAAAATATTCCTCTGGTTGTTGAAACGGATGCGTCAGACTGTGCTATTGCTGCTTCTTTGAAACAAGCTGATCGTCCTGTAGCCTTCTTTTCAAGGACCCTCTCACAGGCTGAACAGCGACACCCCGCAATTGAAAAGGAAGCCACGCCATAGTCGAGGCATTAAGAAAATGGCGACACTACCTGATCAGACGCCACTTTAAACTTATTACTGACCAGAAATCAGTTGCTTTTATGTTCAACTCTAAAACTACGAGTAAAATAAAGAATGAGAAAATAGCGAGGTGGAGAATTGAACTATCTTGTTTCTCCTTTGACGTCAGCTACCGACCTGGCAAGGAGAACTTAACAGCTGATACACTGTCAAAAGCATGCTGTACGGCATCAAGCGGGGACGAACTCCGAACGCTACATAACAATCTCTGTCACTCGGGCATTACTCATGCTGTGAGGTGTAGAAACTTGCCTTTCTCAGTGGAGGAGGTAAAAAGAATTACAAATTCTTGTCGAACATGTGCTGAAATAAAGCCTCAGTTTTATAAACCCCAAACTGGCGTTTTAATAAAAGCAACACAACCGTTTGAAAGACTCAATTTTGATTTTAAAGGACCGCTACCAAGTAAAACAAGGAACAGATATATATTAACGGTTATCAACGAATATTCACGGTTTCCTTTGCCTTCCTTGTTCAGACATATCGGCTGCTGCAATTATACAATGCCTCTGCTCACTGTTCGCCATCTTTGGAGCCCCTGCCTATATACATTCGGACCGAGGGGCTTCTTTCATGTCAGAGCAGCTTCGCAATTTCTACAGGAATGAGGGAGTAGCTATAAGCGGACAACTCCCTACAACCCTAAAGGGTAACGGTCAATGCGAAAGATATAACAGCATTATTTGGAAGACCGTTCAATTGGCTGCCTCAAATAACGGATGTTCAATTGATAATTGGGAAAATCTCCTTCCTGTCGCATTATACGCCATTCGTTCCCTATTGTGTACCGCCATTTAATGCCACCCCACACGAAAGGTTTCTACCTTTTCAGCGACGGAGTTGGGCGGAGCTTCACTTCCATCTTGGCTCTCTCGACCCGGTACTGTGTTTCTGAGACGACATGCACGTTACACCAAGAATGATCCCTTGGTGGACGAGGTAGAGCTTATAGAGGCGAACCCTCAGTACGCCGCTAATACGACATGCAGATGGTAGAGAGTCTAATGTGTCTCTCAGGGACCTAGCACCGGCCGGAGACGTACCGGACCGTGGATAGCCCTGAGGACAGACCAACTACCCCTGACACTGAAGCCCCTCCGGAAGATCATGGCACTGAAATTGTTCCTGACACGCTGTCTGACGACACTGTCTCCGTTGAGGCCCCGTCAGACACTTCAGATGGGCCAACACCTGAAACCCTGACAGATGAAGGGCTAGCACTGAATAAACGTGTTCATCCAGAGACTGACTCTGATGCGGAACGGCCTGCTCCTCTGAGAAGGAAACATTTCGGAGCAAGGTATTTTAGAGCCCACAGACAGGCTCAAGACTGAAGAGCCTCCCTGTTCGAGTACACCGACCACGAATCATGGACTGCCGAGGCGGCCACTGGTGAACTCGTAGGGAGCCTGGACATTTAAGGGACTTTCTTCCCTATCAGTGAGAAATTTGGTGGGGGAGAATGTTGTGAATATGATTATCTCCTCTTAGATAATCCAAGCTATAAAAACTGTATACTTCCGCTGTCAAGTCAGATGAGTAGTAGTATTCTTAATTGAATAAACGATTACTAGACAGAATCTCTTGTCCTGTTTTCATTACATGTATAATAATGATAATTATTCAAATAAAAAAATCAGCTGCTATTAATTCCCAGATCAGTAAAAACCGGAAATATATGGTTGAATAATTATAGTCATAAAAAACATCAGGTTTTCCAACCACCTTAAATTTCTTTATAGGTATTGAATAAAAGCTATTCCCACAGGGTTTGTTGATCTGAATAAATATCCACAACCAAAAATTTAATTAAGTAAAGAGTAGGAAATACTCTAATTAAAAACAACAAAACAAGGATGAGAATTTGAGCTTTTTGTAATGTTATAATTTGTTGAAAATAAATCCTCACCAAAAATTAAAGCAAAAAAAAATTTGGATCAATTTCAAGTATTTAATTTTGTCACAATCTATCAAACTGTTCTTTGGTTATCATGCATATTTATACTGATCTTTTTCTATCTAAGCCTGAAGGAACAATTAAAATGTATTGAGTAATGAATGAATATATAAACTGTCATAGTTTTCATAAAAGTATCTAAAAAAGAAAGATACTAACATCTGAAGTGGTCATGTACAACCAGATATTAATTTATTTTGCATAGAAAATGTTTCTATTGATATGCATGCCAAGTATGACTGTCTTTTTTTTGTCACTTTTCACAACCTTAGAGGCATGACTAAATATGTTTTCTTCTAAACAGATACAAATATTTATAATATATACTTTACCATTCAACTTTGAATTATGGAAATCAGACTTACAATGAAGGGAACTGAACCAAATGTTTTTCATGTTCTTGCAAATATGTGCTGTATTCCCTGTTGAAAAATGAAGGAAATAAAATAGAAATTCCAATTAGTGAATGTTAAAAATACTGATGCATTTGATTCAAATATATGTATAGTCTGAAAGTCAAAGAGATAAAAATAAATTTAAATTGGTCTATTGGAAAATAAATGAAGATTTTATATTTCTTAAATAATTTTTTGTTTTCTGCTGCCAATTTTGATAATCACTGCATGTACAGGTTTTAAAAGACTAGTTCTGAAAATAACTTTAGGCTAGTTGAGTGATGAATTGCCTCCCTTGATTTGGAACTTTAATAGAAATTCAAATTTACTGTTTCTTTATTTACCTTTATTTTTTTAACCAAATAAATAAATATCCATCAGCAAAAAAGTTCCCAGTCATAAATGTATTAAAACTTGATAAGTATCTAAATTTGTGCGAAGGGTTTAACCGAATTAAACTTTTACTTGGCTGACTATTACAATACTATAATAAGCAATTGTATATATATCAACTCAAATAAACTTTTTTTATGTTCTCTATGTTTTGTAGTGACTGACTTGTATAATTTCCATTGTGTTTTAAGCAATAAAATTTGCACAATTTATATATTTTATAAGGAAATATTTTCTCACCAATTTATAATTAGATAAGTTTTTCAATAAGCAAATATGAGTTAAATTAAAATTAAGAGAACATATGAATTTCAGAACTAATTGGCAAAAATTGATTAAACCAGAATTTTTTACTCGCATATACATGCACTCCATTTGCTCACTTTTTGTCTACTTCAACCCAAGTGAAACCCCTCACTCCTGTGTATGAGGGATTAAAATCCTGTTTGTGACCTGTATACTTTTTTGACTCAACATCTTTGCCTCTTGAACATCTGGATGGTAGTTTTGTATGCACAATACCAAAAGTCTCATGACTTATTATCTTTACTCAATGCATTAAAAATTTATATATCAAATACTAAATTATTTACTATTTTCATTTTAGGTCTGAATTTATTTTGGTAGTATTAGATGAATAAAGAGTTATAAAATATGCTTAAACTTTTTCTTTTCATTTACATGTTGTCTCAGAATAATAATTGCAGGACATCGATTAATCTCACCCTGATAAGCATATCTGTATCTGCCAAACTACTAGTTAGAAGTTAACTTTTTACCTATCTATTCACTATAATATAATCTATATAGTTACATAAATTAAAAAAATATTTGCTGTTCATGTATATACATTATTAAACAACTAAGAATTGACTTTTAAAGCATTTTTCTAGAATCATAAATTCAAAGCTATGTATTTTAAGCACAAAATAAATAAGAATAACATTTAAATTCATCATTTTCATAAATTGCATTTCTAAACTAGATATTAGATATAAACAACATTTTGGCATTTAAGATGTTATCAGTATTTTTAAAATTATTCAAGGAATATACCATGGAATAATGTATTATCTAACAATTTACTGGGCTTTATCCAATGATAATAAAAACTACTATTACCCATAATATAGTCTTATAAATTCTGTGAAATTGTTTAGATTTTCTATGTTGAATTGGAAATAAAATACAATTAAAACAGTTAAGTTTCAATCAGTTTCAAAGTAGAATATTTTAGAAAATATGTCTGTTTTGTTTTATTTTTTAATTTCATATTATATATTATAATTTCATATTATATCATATATTTAACAATATATATTGTTTTGTTTTTTAATATTATATATTCTTTCCTTGCAGTGAATGCTATGTTTTTTTAATATTATATATTCATAATGCAATGAGTACCGAATACATTAGACACCAAATGCTAGCAATTTTCTTCAACTGGAATTATTCAGTTTCCTAGGATAGTGATTTTCCAAGCGTAGCTTAGATGTGGCACAAGGCTGAAAGTAGGGGGCATCCAGTAAGGATCAAACTCACTACTCAGTAGTAAATGTTCTAGCAAGACAAGCTTGCTGACCATTACATCACCTCAAGGTGGCCCAGTTTCCTGGGATAGACTGTGAAAGTAATCTTAATGTTGCCATGAAATCAAGTTTCTTTTTTTTTTTTTGTTTTGCGTTTTTGTTTTCCGGGGTGTTTTGTTTTGTTTTGTTTTTTGATTTTTTGCATACAAAAGGAATTTTAATGCAAAAAAGCAAAATATGTATTATATAGCAAGGGAGGTAATCAAGTATACACGCGTGACAATTCAATTCTCATTTTTTTCACAAAGGGTTAACAAGTTTTACTTACTATCTTTAATTTACAAAGCCATTCCATTTACCAATAAAATAAAAATTTCTTTTTTAAAAATTTACAGTATTAAATGAAAACTCTGTACAATTTTCAGAAAAATATAAAAAATATTACTAAAAAATTATAATATATTATCATTAATGTACTGAATATTTTCCCAAATTTTATTATTTAAAATTGGGATATTTTCAAATGAATAACATTGTATTTGAAATAATCTGCTAAAATACATACTCATCTTTAAATTCCAAACTCTTTACACCTTGGTTCCTTACCAAATGAAACTCCTCTGGTATTAATGTATTTGGAAGTTGAATTGCCTGCAATGGAAACATAACCATATAACAATTTGTTACAACAATCTGCTGCAAACTTTGTCTGCATTTCTTTATATATGTAAATAGATTTTTTCAAAGATTAACTTGGTCTAACAGGAACACATTTTATAAAGAACTACTAACTATTGTACTAAAATAAATAACTTCTAATAGCTGGTAAAGTATGTGTTGTTGATTTAATTGCCAAAGTATACATACATGTATATTTTATTTCAAAGGTTATTACAGTGGATACTCATATCTGAAATAGACACCGCATTTTTATTTTTTATTTTAAGAAGTTTATCAGTCTGTGTTTTTGAGAAATCTTAATAAAGAAAATGTTCTTTCTAGCAGGGATCAGAGGGATACAAGTTCGATCGCTGTTAGAGAGCACATTAAATTTTAAAATATTTTGAGTTAGTGTCAGACACTAGCTTAGAGAAAAGCTTTAATTATTGCTTCAAAGTAATATTTGAATATATGAAAACATTTATTTACCTTTGAATCTTTTTTCTCATTTTTTTTTCTAATAACACCCACATCAACATTACTGGATTTTTCAATTTTTTTGTCACTTTTGGGAACATCATAAAGGAAGGAAATATCCCTAAAATCAGTAAAAGAAAAATGTAAACACATTTTAAATATCTACAAACAAATAGTAACTCATTGACACAAGTTACTAGAGACAAATTGAATTAGTGACAAACTTGGACATTTGTGTCTGAAAAAAAACGAAGTGTCAAAAGGACAGTTTTCCCTTTGATACTGCTATCATTTTAACTACCTTCACTCCTCAGCAATGTTTATTGTTTTAAAAATCGATGATCAGAATTGTAATAAAATCTAAACATATGAAACTGAATTTATACATTTTCTTTGTTCTTAAGATTTGAAAACAAAAATAATATACATTATTGTTTATTTACAACTATTTATTTTATTGTTTATTGGAATGGTTGGCAAAACATCAGCTAATTAACAAATGATTCAAACTTTATAAAATGGTAAATAATAAGGATTTCCTTATAGCTGGTTAATATATTTTAATAATTTAGTAAATGTTTACAAATTTATGAACAAAAAATTGTTTTTATATTAATTTTTTTATAAATTGGTAAATGATAAATATTGAATTGCATTAGTTTTAATTGATTAAAATGATGTAAATATAAAATTATTCTTGTAAACAATCTAATAAAAAATAGTGCTTAATATTTTTGTTGTAATTCTCAAGAACAAAAAAAATGTATAAATTTACTTTCATAATATGCTTAGGTTTTATTACAATTTTAATCATTGCTTCTTAAAAGAATAAACACTGCCAAGTAGTGAAGGTAGTTAAAATAATAGCGGTGTCAAGGAGAAAACTGTTCAAAATAACAGAAGCCACATCACTTGAGGACTTTCATCAGCACATTAAATCAAAGAGAAAATAATGGCATAATCAAGATGCTGGCATTCCACATTATTTTAAACAAAAGGTTAAGAACAAATCCCCTATCAGTACTAGAAAGAGTGATAACAGTGAACTTATGAAAATTATTTTCTTGAAAAATTGTTTTAATAGAAAAATTTTATAATTTCAACTGTAATTTTTATGAGTTTTCCATAAACTTTCATCTACAAAATGAACAAAAAATCATTTCTGCCAAATTTACTTTTTATTACATCAAATGTTATTTTTAGTGGATACCCATATTTGAGTAGACACTCCATTTATTTATTAAACAATATTTATTTTTTTACCAATCTGTGTACTTGAGAAAACTTAATAATAAAATGTGCCCTCTGGATTTCTTGCTCACTCAGACCAGTAGACAAAATTGTGGGGTTCAGCGTATAGGGAGCACAAACGAGAGGTCAAGGTTGAAATGACATGTTTTCTTAGTTTAAGGAGCAAAGGAGGAGGTAACTCCGACAATACCTCCCACAAGGTTAAAAGTTGTAATGAAATGGCAACTTTTAATATATAAGAAAAAAGTTAATGAAAGTTTTGATTGTTGTCCTTGTGAACTGAAAAGAAAATGTGTCAGAAGTGTGGTTGAGATGTGTGATTCGACGAAATGTGCTTGTGTTGTCGTCAGGGTGCAATCGTTGAAAATGTTTTTTGAAACAGTGAGTCGTCCGAAAAGAAGGTTTGAAGCATGGGGAAGCAAGCGGTGGCGTGAAGATGTCGCCACATTGTGTAGGAAAATGTATGCACGCGCTTTATGAGTTTCAGGATGGAACAAGATACGAATGCTATGACCAGTAACATATATTGAAAGAGAGCAGAATTTGCAATGTTAGTAGCGACGAATTACGTGCATGCAAATCCTCAGTGATGTCGCATCATAATGGAACAGTGAGTCGTCTTTAGTGGTTTGGTTCACACTTTATCTATTTCAGTCCAGAAGAGAGTGTTAGTTCGTAAAAAAAATAGTGTTGGGAGTCTGCTGGTCGCTAAACGCTGAATATGCCTCGTTTATATTGTGTCGCCATATTGTCCAGCCTAGTCAGATCACGTCGGGGTCACCACTTGTGGGGTTCAGTGTATAGGGAGCACAAACAAGAGGTCATGGTCGAAATGACATGTTTTCTTAGTTTAAGGAGTGAAGGAGGCGGTAACTCTGACAAAATAAATACTGTTTAATAAATGAACAAAGATTCTACTCAAATATGGTATCCACTAAAAATAACATTTGAAGTAATAAAAATGTCGGATTGAAAAATAAAATCCATTTATTTATGTATGTATATTTATCTTTTAGATAAAGAAATTTAGGTACCACCTACATGTGGGTCATAGATTGAAATCTGTATACAATGGAAGCAAATAATACACTCAGGATTGAAAAACAGTCACCAATTAATTCTAGCAAATGATAGCAACATACAATATGTAACATTTAGTAATGAAAAGCCATGCAATGTGTTTTTAAAATGAATCTCATTAACTTCTTACTGTACAAAATTCTTTTTCATAGTCTATGTAAAAATTCTTAGTACAGTCTAACTTATTATATATACAATATGAGAATAACCATAGCATTGCAGAAAATAATTATAATCTTTCTGGTATCTTTATTATATAAAAGCCAATATCATTTTTATTTGTTAGTTGTTTGGCCTTCTCATGTTAAAGCAAACAGTTATATAAACTTAAATGAATTCTGCCCTCATCCGAAATATACAATCTGGAGAAAAACAGGTAAACCACACACCAATAGAAAAAAAGGAGATGCTAATTCCACCTATGGCAAATTGAAAAACACACATGACTTAAAAATTCCAGTCATTGTAGAATTTTTCAGGCCATAACATCCCTAAAAGTAGTCCAAGGACAGGTGCTTTTATCATTGCCATCATCTCTAGATGGACTGCTAACCAAGAATGAAGAGTTAGCACAACTATAACTTCTGAATTTAGAGTTGTCCTTCTCTAACACTGGTCTGTCCTGCTACTTAATCCTTGCCAAGAGTATTGGTATGGGTTAAGTAGCAAGACAGAAAATTAATGTATCAAACTCAACCGGAATTCAAACTTGGCTCGATGATTTCTCAGTCTGACTCACTAACCATAAAATTACACATCCAAAATAAGCTGCTACTGAAATATTTGGATAAAATTAGCTTTGTATTTTGAAATACTAACTTGTTTAAAGTTTTTAATTATTTCTCAGTTAATTTTTCTTTTTTTAAAATTACTGATGCATTAAACTCCATTTAAAGCAGCAAAAACTAAATTTAACATTCTTTGAATTTTTATAACATTTTATTTTTAAAAACAGCCATGTGAATATGGCTGTGCTCATATAAACTGAAAATATTCTTTTATTTAATCCTAATGTTTATTGATAAAAATTAAGAAAGACATTAAATTAAGTACTTCCAAAATTTAGAAAAATTAAATTTAAAACTTTTTGCAATCTTTGAAAACGTTTTTTTTTACCTATTTAAAAAACAATCATCTTATATATTTCACAGATAACTGGCAATATCATAATCTATATCAAATATTGCAATGCCTGATCAGCTGATGAATGTTGTTAGTATTACCAGGAAAGACTTCCTGTCTGAACTTCTTTTATGTGCCATGTCCCTTCCGGTTGTTGGCGATCATGGCTCTCCACAATTTCCTATCCTTTGTAGCTCAATAAATTTTGTCTTTTTGTTATCTCTCGTAAATCTAATTTCACCATCCATTTACTCAAGCTCGCTAGGTAGGTTATACAGTGTTTTCCTCTGTCCATCCTGCCCTTAATCTGTCCTGTGAGTATCAAATTTTCCAAGCCCCTTTTCCTCATTATATGCTCTAGAAATTTCTCTAAAACTTTGACACTGCTCACATATTTAGTCTATGGTATTCTCAGAATCCTTCAACAGAAGCATTTTGTTGCTTGAAGCCTCTTCTTCATCTGCACAGAAATTGTCCAGCATTCCATGCCATATAGGAGGACTGATATTACATAACATTTCAGTACTCTTTTCTTTGCTTCTAATGAAATTTTTCTGTTTCTTAATACTTTGCTTAGCTTTTGAAAGGCATCTTTTGGCATGTACCATTGGATTTCAGTTAAAACTTTCCATCCTCTGTTAAAACACTTCCCAGAAGCCCAATAAGCAGCTACATATATAGCATTTTTTGCACTAATTTGTTGTTTCACTCTCTTCAAAAAGTAGCATATCATGAATTAATTAATCTTTGACCAAATATTTAGAGCTGACTCATTAATAAATGAGCTTAACTTATATAAAAGTAATTACAAAACATCAAGTGCAATTGGATGCCATTTTATGATGATCCTTTTGTTATGACATTCTCATCAAAATGGCATTTGTATATTGTTAAGAATTAGTCTGCACAAACCTTCCAGCGCCACAAATACAAATTGTATCATCTGTGAGATGTTTTAACCTTTCTCGTCTTTTATGGTACCATACATTGCCTGAACGTTTCCTGCCAGGGACCTGTTAAAAAAAGTAATATACTTCTATATTTTTTTCACTCTAATTTCATATTATTAGTTTTGAACAATAAAATCAGAAGGAGCCTCTATTAAGGGATTAACACTGTCCTGTAAAAATAATTAACCACTCAAGCATCTTCAATCAAAAGTACATAGTGATTAAATGAATACTTGTACGCATATATACATACAACTATTTCTAATATATATACCTGTACACACTTATACATGTATATGTGCCCCCTGCTATATCCCCATGCACACACACGCACACACATGCACACATATATGTATATATTAGAGCCAATTTTTTACACACACACACATATATATATATATCAGAGGCACTGAATTAGTTTGTCAGTTTTTAAAATTTAACCATATACATCCATACAATGCAAACACATATCAGTTTAAAATAATCAGAAAAAACATACATGTATTTGGTTATAAACAATATTAATACTGAACAAACAATACACACATATATACACTTTTACAAAAATTGTATACTTATTCTCATTAGTACAATTATGCCCACTCAATTAACCCATTACATCATAAGATTGCAAGTTAAAAAAGGGGAAATATACCACTTATAAACCCTCAAACAGAACCTAAAATAATCGATTAGATAAAACGAAAGAAATAAGTTTAAAAGAGTTATTTACATTTCAGGTTATATGGTAGATATGTTTTTTTTAATATAATAAAAATAAATATAATATTTTTAACAAAAATATAAGGACAACTTTAATAAAAAATTATCCTTAAGTTTTACTTTAAATCATTCTTCAAGAATAGTTGCTTAAAATCACTCACACTTATGCACGCAGATATTATACAATACATTCTAGTTCAAGGAAACAGTTAACCATTTGGAGAATAAATGATTTTAAATTTTCATTGTTCAAAAACTGAAAGGCTGGATGCATATTTCAATTGGTAGTTTTTTCATCTTTGTTAATTGAATGTGGTGCATCACTGAAGTATTACAATTATTTCAAAAATAAACTATTAGGTCATTTTAAAAGAAAGATAGCTCAAGCTGGCCATACAAAAGAAAAACTTACATTTAACTTTTTGATTTATGATGTAATAAAATAAGAAACAAAATTAAGAGAAGAATGGAGAGAATAAAATTTACTAATCATGGTGAGTTTGAATGAATGAATGAAGCTGATAAACAAAAAGATTTTAAATAATTTAAATTTTATAAAAGTAACTCATAAATTATCACTTTTAAAAATAATCTCCGAATAAAAAGAAAACCATTTTCTACAATGTTTATTATTTATCTTTTAACTTTAAAAAATACATTTTTTATTATTTATACATACAACCAATGCATCTAAATCTGCTGGCTTTTTGCTTGGTTCTGCTTGTTTGGGAGAAGGCACACGTGTCAAAGCAAAGAGAACTTCTTTTGGTACATAATCACATTCTTTACTGTCTTCAGCTGATATTCCAATATTGGGAAGAGAATCTAAAAAAACAGAAGTTTTATAAAATCATTTAAAAAGAATGCCAAAAGTACAAATCACTCACTTTGAATGGATCAAAATGGAGCCAGTATTTCTCAAGCGATGAAAAATAGAAGAGATTTCCTTTTGTCTTATATATATATATATATATATATATAGATAGATAGATAGATAGATAGATAGATAGATTTTAATTTATTGCTTAAACCTTAGCAATATATTTAGTAATAAATTAAAATATGTCAAATTAATAAATGGAAAATCCATTCCTAAAAATATATATATATATATATATATATATATATATAAGTGATATGAATTATCCAAACAAATGTGTAAGATGGAATACATGAAAACTAGTTGGATGTTGAAATTTTTTTTATTTTCTTAATGATATTTCACTCCTTTAGTGTGAGCATTATGAAAGCTTAATAAAAAAAATCTAAGGAAAAGTTTTTATCATGCTAGATAATTTTTCAAACTAACTACATCATTTTTATACAGCAGGGTTACTATGGTAATGACATTTTCTTCAATATTTTTCAGTTTTGATAATGCTCATCTAAAAGGAGGAGCAAAGCATCAACAAGATAAAGTATATTCAACATCCAACTGGTTTTCATGTATCCCATTATATATATATATATATATATATATATATATATATAACCATATGAAATGAGAACAAATTGAATATAGATTCCAACATTCATAACATTCAATTTAAAAGAGGGTTCAATACAATCCAGTAGTAGAGCAATGTTCTTTATTTTAGGATATTACATCAATAATGATGTGAATAACGTTACACAAATGCAATCATGTTTCAATGTGCATTAACACATCTCATCAGGCGTTAGTAAATGACTGATTAATATACAATTTATTGAGATTTAAAACCACATACAACCTCTTTTCATGCAAAAAAAAAAAAAAGAAAAAAGAGTAAGAAAAAAGACACAAAATACAATCTTTTTTCCAGAGAAAAGGAAGAATAAGGAAAAAAAGTAGTAAAGAAGAGGGAGGAAATAGCAGCAAAATTTGTTTTGTTTATAATCAGATCCACCAATCTAAATTGCCTATACTAAGTAAGAGGTCATCACCCACCAATTTAAAATTGAAGACAAGTTAGACGTTATATTCAATACAAATGCAAGTTTGCTACAATGTCAACTGTAAGATACATGACATTTCCTAAGAGAAAGTAAATGTAATATAACAAGGCATTTGACAAATCTCATACCTTGTGAATTAAAAGTTAAAATTTCACAATTTTATAGTCGGTAAATAATATGGCCCTTTAAATATTTAAATAAATAGATTGAACAAAACTTTAACCATATAGATCATATAAAATTAATTAAAATATAAATCATACAAAACAGAATGGGTTTATAACTAAATGGTTTTATATAGGGTGTTAATAAAATCAATCAATGAAAAATATCAAAATGTCATCCAAGCATATATACCACTAGACTAAATATTACCAGCAGTACTAGAAGAATAACATTATTTAAATATTTTGATTGATCTATATATTTTTAATAATTTTATTAGACCTTTTTGTTTTCTTTTTTTAATTATTTCTTTTTGTTGAAATTAATGCATGCAAGATTTCACAGCTCTAGCATCACTACTTCATAATCATCCTATGAACCTTTCAGCCCACCCTCATATATATATATATATATATATATATATATACAACAATCATAGCAACATTTGCAACCTTTGTCAACAAGAGAAATTAGCTATAATAACATTTCCAAATCAAAAACATTTTTTAACCAGAGATCATAAATTATGTCCCATTGTATTTATACTAAAAAGTTCCTTTTGAGTTCATTTGAAGTGGGATAAAAAGAATTATGTATATTTCATTTAATTCCCTCCCGATACATTTCCAATACATTTGATTTTCCCCTCCTCCTCATCCTCACCTTCTACCACCCCTTACTTCATGTGCTTATTCATTTATTTATTTGTTTTAAAATATAGCGTTCATAAATTTTTATTTTTAAAAAATAAAGCATTGACTAAAATCATGTGAAGATATTGAAAAATTCAAACCAAGGTGGCAGAATTAGCTGATTTCTTAATTTTCTACGTATATATATATATATATATATATATATATATATATATATATATATACATGAGATAACAATATATATCTTTATATATCATGAACAGTATTGGGGAAATGTATGACAAAATGGAAAAAGTTTATTTATAATACATTTTGGCCTTCAGGACTTCATCAAAAAATTTAGTCTGATGAAGTCTTGAGTGATGAAACATGTCACAAGTAAACGTATTCCACTTTGTCATATATATATATATATATATATATATATATATATATATATATATATATAGTAGCAAGCATAAAGATCAGAACGATGTTAAGAAAAAGTCTAAATCTGAAATAACTTTTTATTTTAAAGCTTCAAAGAACATTTTTTCAAGGAAAAATAAGGACATAAAGGTAAATTATATAATTACAAAATATAAAGATCAATAAACTTATTTTGATAAAGTTATAAGAATAATTATATAACATTTGAAAAAAATAGCTGATCAAAAACATCAGAACAATTAACAAAATCATACTATTATAATGGATACATCATATCCAAATGAAAATAGTGTTCATAATACATTAGTACTTGATGTGTAGACCTTTACTTGCAATAACAGCTTGACATCTTTTACTACATGAGCGAATGAATGTCTTGTATTCATTAACGGATATTTTCTCCCATTCTCCTTTCAAATTAGTCCATAGTTCTTCAATGTTTGTTGGATTCTTTTCCTTAGCTCTTTCATTTAGTAACTTCCAAACATTCTCAATATGATTCATGTCTGGGCTTTGTGCAGGCCACTCCATAACAGTAACATCCTACTCAGAAAGAAATGTCTTAACAGACTTCACTGTGTGACACGGCATGTTATCTTGCATAAATACAGCTGGTTGATTAATTGCAGTTCTCAAATTAGGTACAACATGTTTCTTCAATATCTCTTTGTATACAGTTGCGTTAATTTTACCATGTTGCCTAACAAGAGGTCCCGTACCAGCAGATGAAATCATGCCAAACACCATCACACTTCCTCCTCCAAATTTAATGCTGCTTTTAGTGCCCTGAGGCAAATATCATTCCTTAGGACTGCGTCAAACGAACCTTCTCCCTTCACAACCGAACATGTTAAACTTTCACTCATCGCTGAAATGAACACAATCCCACTGTTCTTCTGTCCACTGACATGTTCAGTGGCAAATTTCAATCGACTCATTTGATTCTTTTTAGAAATGTAAGGCTTTCTAGAGGCTACTCAACTGTTCAAATTTATTTCATTAAGTCTTCGGGAAATAGTGTGCCTTGATATTTTAATGCCAAGTTTAGCATTAGCTCCTTTAGAGATAGTGGTTGCTGTCACAAATCGATCCTTTTTTAATTCATTACCAATCCATCTGTCTTCCCTTGCAGTAGTTTTCCTAGGCCTGCCAGGTGGTTTCTTCACATGACCCAGTTTCCTCAAATTTTCTTAAAATACTATGAATAAGACTTAGATTTCCCCACAGTCTTTGAAATATCCCCAATCAAGGGTTTATCTTCATTACATAACTTGACTATCACTATCAGTTTTCTAAGTTCCAATGACGTCACAGATTTTTTCACCAGGTTTACAATGCAAGAGCCAGTAAAGAGTCAGTGTAATTTAGTAAAATACCCTATTTTATATTCTTACCCTAAAATATTTTCAATAATGCAAAATAATTATTAAATTTTATGGATTTATTTAATCGTTCTGATGTTTTTGATCATCTATTTTTTTTTAATGTTATATAATTATTCTTATAACTTTATCAAAATAAGTTTATTGATCTTTATATTTTGTAATTATATAATTTACCTTTATATCCTTATTTTTCCTTGCTAAAATGTTCTTTGAAGCTTTAAAATAAAAAGTTATTTCAGATTTAGACTTTTTCTTAACATCGTTCTGATCTTTATGCTCACTATTGTATATATATAAACAAATAAAAATATGATTTATGTAAATAAATTCAATTTTAATATCAAGCACCCTGACAAGTGTAATTTCTGTAAAATTTAGAGCAGGTACAGATAAATGAATACTTAATTGTATTTGTTACTATATAAAAATTACTATAAAATAATTAATAAAACCACTAATTCTGAAAAACCCAACACCCTACTAATAAAAATTAAAACCTCCTGGCAAATTATTTACAATATCAATTGTCATGGTTTTTTACTTCTACTCTTATATTTAACATCAGTTTTGATTTTCTTTTACATTTCCTTTTTCCCCTTTAGGCTTCTAAAATTTCTTAACCAGGCAAAAATACAGTCAGTGAATATACATATTTTTCTCTTAAGCTTGGCATAATCTCCAAGCCTCAAAGCAGAAACTGTACTTACATCTTTGATGTGTACTACTGATGTTGTTCTATTTCTCCAATTCCTAGTCTGCCATGCTATTTAACCCATATCTAGGGGGGAAGAAATGGATTTATACCCTTCCCAAGTGTATATGCATGTAAGTGAATATCATGAACTTGACTGGGACTCAAAATTGGCTTTCTGATTTCTCATTCCAAGTTGCTATCCATTACACCACCCACAAGGAAAGTCTAATGAATACTAATGCTAATCTACATAAATTACTCTGCAAAAATTATTCCTTATTTTTTACAAGCAGACCAGTCAATTTAAGTAGTTCCAAGGACAGACTTCATTTTTTATTATAGGTTTAAGTTCTATTATAATCAATAATTTTCATGATTTAACACCCATTAAGCTTCATGGTTGCCCCCCCCCAAATAAATACTGATACTTTATATCACGAGTTAGACAGCAGGATTTACCCACCTAAAACCCTGACCTATAGTAAGTGTATCTATACTACAACTTATATCTTGTTTTATAAATCTCAAAATTTATAAATTTTATATATCTTGTGGCAGATTTCACCACATTAATTTAACTTTAGATTAGGAAACAAGGCTCACGCAAAAAAGGATAACCAAAAGACTTTGTTACACATAAGACATGTATTTAACAAGATGTACAATATCAAACAACAATGTGAAGGAAAGCATGCATTTAAGTATGAAAAGATTGAATTAACCAAGAGTTGTCTCTCTTTAACTGTTATTTTAGTGTTCAGTGAGAAAGTCATTTAGTTCAAAGTTCACTGGAAAAATGTTCATGAAAGTCTCTTGTAATGATTGTTCTTAAAAAATATTACTGTGTAAGAAGAGTTTATGTGAGCGTGTACAAGGTATGTTCAGTATGTGAGTGGTGTGTTTGAGTGAGAAAGTTGGCGCATGATTTCAACTGTCGTGGATTTGTTTGGCAGTTGAATTCTCACTAATTGGGATTAGAAAAATCTTGGCTTAAATAAACGACTATAGGCTCCAAATCGTTGTGCGGGAAAAATTATTCTTCACATGCAAAAAATCTGATTCGTTGGCATCAACCAATCAGTGAGCGAGCTTTGGGGAGACTTAAGAAAGCTTCTGTGATCTATTTCTCCCAAAAGTGCACAAAATTGACTACTTAAAAATAGAGTGATTACAAAATTGTCACATTACTGCGATTTGTAAATTGCCTATAGTAATGTAGTGGTGATTTATTAACCAATAAATGCTTGGCATTGTATGTGATTTGTATATTTGTATGTATGTATGTTTGTGCATAAGAGATCTGCACAATCACTATATCAGTTGTCAAAATCTTTATAATACTTAAGTGTTAACTATAATTTTTTTTCAATAAAGATTTAAACTTGTAATGTCACATCAATTCAGTGAGTTTGTTTGCTGTTAGTCAGATTATTATCACCACATTTAAATATGGATAAATACTAATAACATGAAATAAAGCAAATATTTATTCTATGGTTATATCACAATTTTTTAAAGTTGTCTTGCCTTTGTTCTTTATATACAACGCATGCAATTTTTTAGATTTCAATTGCCAAAGGGAGATAACTCAGTATACAAACTTTTTTAAAATTTAATTTATTTGTAAATTTTAAAAGGTAATTGTGATTAAAGTAAATCCTTAAAATAATAACTAATGATTTACCTTGACATTCAAGCCTGCCATTATTCTCCTTTGGACTTGTCTCTAACGTTGTCATTTTGGGCTGAAACAAGTAAAACAAATTTTCTTAGAACATTTAACAAGAAATAACAACATTCAGAAAAGTTATGCTTATTTTTAAACAAAAAATACATTGGTATGACAAAGTCTTCTTAATCGTTATGAACAAATGACATGAGTAGAAACAACAATTAAATAATATAAAAAAAAACATGTTAAATAACTCTTCCTGTTCATAAAATAAATTATTACATACTTTGATATTTATGCTGTATAAGAATTGTACATTTTAAAAGTATATATACATGGACTAACTGCCAGAGATTGTGTAGTGCCAGTCACCTGAAGAAGAAAAAAAAAAGGATTCTTCAATTTAAAAATCAGTATTTTACCAGAGGGCAATTACCAAATCCGATTTCAAAAGTCAACTTTATAATAGCCAACTTAGGCAATAAAAAAATTTATGAGTTGATTTAGTTAGCGTCAACTGAAATCTTAACATTAACTCACTTAAGATTTTATCCATTTTGTCATTCACTTACCCATATATATATATATATATATATATATATATATATATATATCCAGGTAAAATGAGAAATAATGGAGTATAATTCCACTGTCTGTAATTTAAAAGAGGGCTCAATACAGAGTAGAGCTAAATGTTATTTATTTTAGGATATTAAAACAAAAACATGTTAAAAATCACTACACAATGGCAATCATGTTTCAACAATATGGCTTACTATTCTATTTGTAAGATTCATTTTGATTTAATATAGCTATGTATTGATGTTTAGTTAGTATTATTAACATCTTATATGGATGTACAGGTGTTTAGTTAGTATTATTATATCTTGCATTGATTAGTTGGTATTATTAACCTCTTATATGGATTCTCTTTACTTAATGGTTACATATTAATTTGCCAAAGTAGTTTTGTATTTATGATCTGTTTTTTTTTAGCTTGTTTTTTTTTTCCAAACAGTTATTTACCAGTTTCTTAAAGGGGCCTTTTATTTATCAACTACAAAATTTTATGTAAGAAGCTGTCCTAGCATATAACTAATTAGCATTATGTTAAATTACCTCAACTTCTTTTGATTTTACTTCTTAGGAAAGTTGAACACCAGACTTCTATACATCTTATGAAGTAATGTAACCATTTGTATCTGTTCATCAGAAATTGTCTAGGATTTATATGCAGACAATTTTGTATCATGACCTATATAATAAAACAATTTTTATTGCTGTGTTTGAATTTACCATATGTCACATTCGATTGGTTAATCATGGTAAAGCCTACAAGCTTATTTTTAATTCATTTTTTTTCTCAAAAAAAGAAGTATTCTGCTTTTGAAATTAAATTAATTGTTCACTTGGCAGTAGTTTACCATTGCCCAAGGAGACACATTTGTAGTGTTGAAACATAATTGCTATTGTGTAGCAATTTTTAACATGTTTTTGTTTTTAATATCCTAATATATATATATATATATATATGAAAATTTTGAAAAAACAAACAAAAATCCTTAAATGTAGTTAAAATGAAAGACAAAAAAGTGTTTTTATGTCCACGTTTCGGTTTAATAAACTGAATTGTTTTTTGACAATATTCATCAAAAACAATTCAGTTCAAATGACAAAAACACAGTGTGTTTTTTTATGTTTCATATTTTTTTCATTTTAACTACATTTAAGGATTTTTGTTTGTTTTTTCAAAATTTCTTCATTCTGTCGGATTTATATCCATTTACACTTGCTTATATATATATATATATATATCAAGTGGGATCAAATATAAATTGAAATCAAATGGAAAGATAGGATAAAGAACAACTAGTAAATGTTTATAAATCTAACATGTTTCACTTTTATTAAAGCTTCATCAGAGAATGAAATATGTAGGAGAAAAAGAAAATTCTATTATTTTTCATTTTTGTGTTGTTTTTCATCAGTTAAGTAGACCTCACATGCATCTGTTTTGTCAAGCAGCATTCATGTGTAGAATTCATTTGGTTACGCAAGATTCAGAGGATAATGCATATTCATTTTCTTCTCCGTGTTAGATTTATAAATGTTTCCTCTTTGTTCCTTAGCCTATCATTTATATATATATATATATATATATATGTATGTATGCAAAATACAATATATAAAAAAGGAAAAAGGGAGGGATACTTAAATTTTCCTGCAACTTAAAGTTTCAATGTTGTTTATATATCAGCAGTCACACAATTATCAAACATTTGAAAATGAAATAAAACTCAATTCCAGCTATACATACATAAAGCTGGAATTGTGTTTCATTTCCAGCTTTATATATATATATATATATATATATATAAATCAACCTTACACCAATGAAAAGTGCATAAATTAATTTGCAATGCAATATAAAAGAAAAACAAGAAAATAAACAGTCAATTGTTGATATCTCCTGACAAGTGGATGGAGCAATTGCTGGAGGGTCTGTCTACAAAACTCCAGGGCTGAGATGCTGAATGTAACATCATTCAGCTAAGTGACACATTTTATATTTGTATTAATCCTACATGTATATAATATACACATGGGGATCAAGGTCCTGTGTCAAAGCTGACAAGGGATATTACAGTCCTTTTACTGCTGCTGTGTTATTGAACTTTTCACTCATTCTTTTCTTTCTCTCCTATGCCAGGAAAACAAAGTACAAAGAATTGGAGTTGTGCCTTTTCAGTGAATACTATGAAGGAGTACTAAAACACCATTTTTCAATGTAAGTATTTTTTTTATCAATATTAAATGGGTGGGTATTTTCCAGGCAAACCTTGTTACTTGTGTATTTGTTTTCAGTGTGTGTGCCTCAAACAATAATCAACCAAGAAAATCAACAGAAGAAAATGAACAAAGAAAAGAAAAGGAATATTATAAGATGAAAAAGGAGTTGGTTCTGAAAATGTAAGGAAAAACTCTAGTCTGATCTCTATATAAAATTCTGTGGCTTCTGTTAGTCTGTCCACCTGTCACACCCTCTAAAATAGCCATACATTGACTGATCAAAACCAAATTTTGGAGAGAAGTGCAAACAGGTAAGGGAGTACAAAGTACAGTTGGTTTTACTAGGGTGCGTAGCTTAGTAGAATTAATTCTTTGGAAATATTAAAAGTTTTCTATTTAACATACAAAATACTCCTACTACTTTAAAATCAATTTAATTATTAAAATAAAAAATACTTATTTAATAAAAATGCAATATTAATTTTTGCATATCTTTTTTTTTAAGTTTTTATATATACAAGAATCCTGTTTCCAATATACCCTGCGTTTGCAAGAACTATAAACAAATCTCAAGGCCAAATGCTTCAATTGTTGGAATTTTGCTCCATAAATAAATATTTACACATGGAAAGTTGTATGTTGCATACTCAAGAGTAAGAAATCCTAAGAATTTATTCTTTGTGGTTAAAAAAGAAAAAAGAAATTTTCTTAAAAAATATTGTTTATCATAAAATCCTATAAAATTAAATTAAATTTAAGAAATTATTAAACTATAGAAATCAAAGTATTTTCCCAAACAAATCAGCTTATTCAAATGTCATAGATTGCATAGTGAAATTGAATGAAATGTAAAGTTAGTAAATCTTAACAAAAAGTGATAGCGATAACTTTAATAATACTAAATACTGAGAGGATTTCAACACACATCTTCCTATTGCAACAAAAATTTTACCATTAATTAATTGCTTATTTTTTATGCTATTGATTTATATAAAGAAAATTACATGTCCATGAGTAAAAAATTAAAATGTCATTAAGAAATTGCCAAAAAGAGTTTTCCAACAAAAATGTTTTTCTTTTAAATGAACCAGATCTTGTTCATTACCCATTTACATAAAGCTTAATAATTATTTTAAAAGGTAAATTACATTTTTTTAAATACTAGGATTTTTTGCAACATGCACCCTAATAAAATCAACTGTACTTTGTATCACCTTAGCTGTTTGCACTTCTCCACAAAATTTGGTTTTGATCAGTCAATGTATGGCTATTTTAGAGGGTATGATGGATGGACAGACTAACAGAAGTCACAGAATTTTATATATAGATGAAAGAAAAATTGATATTCAAATAATTAATCTTGCAAATTTGATCATATTTAGATAATAGATTAATTGGCTCCTATCAAGACTGACAGTCGGTTTGACCAGTGGCATAGGGTGGGCTTTGTTTACCTTGTCTTTAAACTATTGCACCTCCTCCTTAGCCATGAGTTATTATAAATTCTAGTAATTTTTTACACCTCTAAAGATTTAGCACCCTAGACAATTGCCCCTCCCCTAGTCCCACCCATGCTATACCACTGGGTGTAACAGATTTTTACTGTGGACAATAATAATAATTTGACCTTATGTTTATTCACCCATTCATTTTTCTATTAACTGTTGTTGCTTTCTAACAACAAGAACTTTTATCATAGTATCTGACAACATGATAGGATGCAAAATGAACACAAGTGGGTTTGGTTAACTTAAACTCTGTTGATTCCATTATGAGGCTGATAAGCACTAGACATTTCCATTTAGTACATATATAGAATGCAGGGAGAGGTGATTTCATGTTTTTCCCATAGGTATTAATACAAAGTGAATATAAGCAGTTTGCTGATTCTATTTTACATCCAGATAATACTATCTTATAACTCTAATAATACTGATTGTTTGTACACATGGTTAATATTAAAGATTCATGAGGTAAATTCAGTTTTTAAAACAATGTTGATATCAATGTCAAATTCAAGTCATTAAAAGATTTTGTTAAAATTGTTCTAATTTTGTATAATGCTGTTATCTTTGAAAATAAATGAACATTTCTATAACTTACTGAACTTGTTAAAAATCAATACTACTTTTCTTTTCTTATTTAAATTTTATATGGCATTATCTTATACAACATTAAAGCATAAATTAAGACATGCACGTAGATAGATAAAAGTTCAAATGACTTATCTTTCACAGATACACAGTTCTACTCATCAGGGTAAATTAATATATTGAATTCTAGAATTCATTAACAGATCTCATACACTAACGCTTGAAACAGTATTACAGCCAATTAAAAATTAATCAAATGAAACAGACAATCTATGAGAAAAAATAAGAGAAGTGTGTAATATTACTAATGATATTGAATTAATTATGTCAATTTGAAAAATGATATGTATTTAAAAAAACTTGATGAATAGAAGAAGAGAAAGTAAAAAACAAATAAAGAAATGTTGCTTTTCATTTCACTTAAAAACATAAAACTTTGTACAAGTGTTTGAAGTTTTCGCATAAAGATTATCATTAAGGAGGAAAACATTCGAAAAAGGAAAAAGAAGATAAATTCACACGTAATATTGCAACAATTGCTTTTTAAATTTGCCTACCAATATTTATGTACAAATGTGAAGGCTTCAAGCAAAGACTAAAAAAAAAGTAGCTTCAACTATATCATTTTGATTACATGTTGTCATGGAGACCGGAAGCGGAAGTTGCAATCAAAACTTCGCTACGCAATAAAAATGGCGCTCAAGTGAAGTTTTTCTTTCCACGTGTAACACTGAATTTTTCAAAAGTTTGCTTAATTAAAGAAAAATGGCAGTTAACGAAGAGAATTCAGTTAATCTTTCGTCAGAAGTTCAACAGATTTTGTCTACCAATACACATTTGAAATATCTTCCAGATAAGAACAAGGTGAGCTTGTAGACTACACGCTGCACAAATTTGGGCAGAATTCTGTGTTTCTTCGTTGCACTTCTGATTAGGAATTAGTACGTCGCAAAATATTTTATGATGATATCTCTTTTCTTTTAAAAGTATCATACACTGATAAATCTTTTCAAAACTAGCCGAACAAATGTTAAACTTATTTATGTTGGTCACACGACGGTGGTATGGTAGCCCTATGACATACGACATTCTTACTTTATTTAAAAACACGCCAGTTAGCGAAAATTATAGCAACGAATTTGCTGGTTTTCATTCTGATTCTATCTACAAATAAAAGATTTCCAATCTTTGGTTTACTCAAACCAGCTGTATTAATTTTCTCTTATAAACTTCAATATTTCTCATTAATGGGTACGAATGAAACTTTTTTTTACCAAATTTCTGAGAACCAACAGCAATAAAGATTCTTCAACAAGCAACATTGTTACGCTGTAAATTTTATTGAACTGTGGTGTTTTTCAATATATTTGTTTGGTGCTGAAGCAGTTCCAGTAAAAAAAAAAAATGCCTAAAGTCGGGGCCATAATTCACATGTGCAGAAATGAAAGTATTTTTTTTTAATACGCTATGGACTGAAAATATATCCTGAGTGGTTGGTTTTTATTTTAAGTGCTTACAGTTACTCGAAGAATTTGTTCCTGATAAATCGAGAAGCAACCATCCAAAAAGACATATTGAACAAGTTTCTGTGCTTATTGGTAATGGTTGGTCCGCTTAATGTGCTAAAAAAACAATCACAAACAAAGATAATGATTTTGTTGATTTACTTACATGAAATACTCAATATAGCGAATTGCTGGCTTTAACTAAGCGTTTTCTAAGTGGAAAACTAAAAGTAACCAACAAGCACCAGGACTAATTGGACTGACTGAATACTTTGGGAAAAAAATCAAAAAATGTATTTAAAAACAATATAAATTTTAATGCGCGAATTATGGCCCGGATTCTAGACTTTTACCGCAGTTTCCTTATCCCTCCAATTTTCATCGTGGAAATTTGACACCTAATTAAAAGTTTCCTCGTTGTCTTCCCCACCTAAATTGAGTTTTCCTGAGACGAGTTACTAGTTGTTACCCAAGTCTACCCCGCAGTTTAACCCACAGCTTAATGGGGGAACCGATGAATTCGTGCCTTTCCAACAGTATCCATGCGAAGCCACGTTCGTTGATTCCACATTACGCTGGCCATTAGCGATAGGTAGTTATTAAAAATATGTATCAAGTGCTTTTTCTTCTCAATGACTAATCTCTGCTTCAATTTATGACAGGTATTGTCATGGCATTGATTCTTATTGCTGAGACTTTGATTTCAATTTTTAACTGCTCATAGGAAGAACGTGTTACTGTTAATCTTTCTCTTTTTCTTTTTTTAAATGAGTGAGTAGCATTGAACGGTTGTTGGGTTTAATTAGTCACTCGACCATCCTTCAAGACTTTCATAAAATCATTCCGCAAGTGATTTGGCATCAAACTAAATTATTAATTGATAATAAATACAATTCACTGCGCGTTAAATTTCGGTTCTTCTGGCGCATTGTATAAAGTCTAAAGTTGGTCATTTTTATTTTGTAATATAAATTGTTTTAAAAATCTAGTATAGAGGAGGGTTTCCTCTTAAAAAAAAAAATAATAGTGCATCACGAAAAATCTTTTTGTTTTCTTTTCTTAACCCCTTTCGTCTTCGTGTGTATTGACAATTGACATTGATTGGAATCTTCGAAAAAATAAAAATTGTCTTCGTCTGGAATAACTTATTAAATAATTTTTGTTGTATTTGCGAAAGTAAACACAATTTTTTTGTTTTTAATCTTTTTATGAAATTCATAAAATATAAATTTGCGTGTTTAAACACTAGGTTTCTTGTGTAAGTTTGTCTTCTAGAATAAATTAACTTTCCTTGTGCAAGGGCAATAACTCTTCTGGCTAAAAAAATCTTCAAATTTTAAAATTTAAGATGAAAGTACGTTTGAAAAAATGCCAAAACAATACAAATACAGATATTTTTAAATATTTTTATACTAATGAATTATGTCCTTGGTAATACTGCATAATGCAATGTAAAAGTTATATATGTTTTTAAATTTCTGAGACAAGCTGTTGCTACATTGAATTGATTCTTTTATTAATTTGAACACGTTTCCTTAATTTTCTTATTTTTTTTATCTTTTGGGGCACTGTTTTTTTTTTGTTTGTTTTTTTGTTTTTGCCTTTTCGTGGTGACTGTGAGCAGAGCTCTTTGATATACTGAGGTATGTGGCTCTCATACTTGCCACTCATGTCTTTCTTTGAGGACTTACATATGTTGACTCTTGTTTTTATTGAATGTTGTGCTGATATAAATTTTTGCAACCTATTGAGCTTAGAATTTCCAGAGAACCAGGTAATCTTTTTACCAATTTTTTTGAAGCCAAACATGCTCAGGAGGTTACCAAATGTAAGCACTTGAAGAAAACCCAAGGAGCATGGCCAGAATGTAATAAAAACAGGAAAACCGATTTGAAAAAAATCAATGTAATCATTTTTTTTCTTTGAAATTTTCTACAGCTTCTAAATATTAGTTAAGATCAACATACATATAATTTAGTACATAAACATTCATATAATAAGCTGTAGTGAGTGTGAAATAACTCCCTTCACTCACTCCTTCAAGTTTGGAGGACTGAGGAAGAAGGAAAGGAATTTGCAAGCCTATCTAAAATTTTTTGAACCAATGAAAACCTTGTCTTCACAGAAATTAGCCAAGAAGAAAAGAAAGTAGCAAGCCTACACAAAATTGATTTTGATATAAAATGAGGAGAAAAATTAATCAGAAGAGTGTCTGAAGTCATGTGAAAAGTTTTCTTTCAATTCTTGCCAGTGTAAAATTACTTGCCAATTATATTATCAGCCTCTAACCAGCATGTGGTACGTCAGAGAATTTTCTCTCAACAATCCAAGAAATCTAAGTATTTTAAACTCTCTTCATCTACATTTGAATATATGCAATCCATATATCCCTTTGATGAGCAACAAGCTCTCTTACCTTTTTGTTTTAAACATTTTGAGTATTATTTGTGTCAGATCATTTAATCTGTTGTATGAACATTTCCTCTTCATGACAATACATTAAAACGATGGACTTTAAGAATTTTGGTTTATTTTGCTGAAACAAGCTACTGACACTACTTTAAGTGTGTAAATTTGTGAATAAATTATCTTTTTTTTTGTTAAAATTACCCATGTATTTCTTCATTATCATCCTTCATTAATCTTCTTGGTGTGGGTAAATCAACTGTTCATTTTACCCCCTAAGCCTCACACCATGATAAAACTTCATTATATAACAAGCATTCATATAATTTAGTATATAAACATGAAGGAATTTACTATCACCTGTAATAATGGTCACAAAAAATACATAGAAAACTCAAGGAATCTAAATAAAAAAAAAAATTATATGAACACAAAAGGAACATTTTATAAAACAATACATTAAATGTATTAGTTGCTCACCATAATGAAAACTGACCGTAATTTTGACAAAAAAAATGCTACTCTAATCAAAAGAGAAAACAATTCACTAAGACAAAAATGTTTAGAGAGTGCTTTGATTGCAAGATGATCTGCAGTAAATTGGTGCCCTAGCTCTTACAACATTTCACCATTCTTGGCAGAACTTCTATTATCATAGTGTGGGTTATCTAATAACAAAAGTGGTGGAAAGAAAAAGAATCTAAATGAAACCAGTTAGATTATGTACCAAAAAAAAAATTTTTAAGTTCCCAGCATCTCTTTTTCATGGTCATATGTAGTTGCACCAACATAAATTTAGTCCAATGAAGTCCTAAACGACAAAACACATCACACAAAACCTTTTTTCCCCATTTTGTCTTATATTTTTTCCCCAGTATTGTTCTTGATATATTGAATTGGCAGTTCCAATTGTGTTATTCTAAATTTGACATATATATATATATATATATACACACACACACACACTTTATAAAGTAGAAAAGTGTTATACACACATATTGTATTTCATATACTTGTAGATGATTAACTGTCATATTGTACAAATCTTCATGGTTCTAGTCTGACCATCAATTCTTTTCCCCTAACTTAGTATCTGGAGATTAGCTTATTATTTTCTATTATTGTCATTATGCAGAACTCTTTAAGTGCTTTAAATAAAGCTTTCTTTCTTCAATCAGGTTCACTGTTCCCTATCTGGGCATGAAATGTCTTGTGAGGAAAAAATTATTTCTGCTTACCTAAATGGTAAGAAATGTCAACGCTTGAAGCAATTGAATGATAATTCTAGCTTTTCTAAATATAAGGAGCACCTTGTTGACAGCAAAAAGAAATTCCACAAGTAAGTATTACTTTTTGATTAATTGTAAAATTCTGTGTCCTCATTAAAAGGACATGTAAAAGGTACATGATTGCTTATTTGTGTGAAAGTTCTTGGCGCCCTCATGCTTACGGTTTAAAATTTCATCTTTTATCAGCTTTTCCAAGAATTCAGAAATGAAGGTTTTAGTTAATTTTTTTCTCATTTCATCAAAAGCAGTTTTCACTTTAATTTGTTTATTTGATTTTGTCATTTTTCTGATGTATTTTTGTCTTTAGCCCGTAAAAAAAAAATAAATAAATAAAATTACAAGTAAAATATGCCTTATCTGATGACGTGACCTCCTTTTTTTTTTTTTTTTAACTTCTCTCGCCAAAAGAATGACTCAAAAATATCTACCAGATCTTAAATGCTTACATTAGGTATCTGGTAAGGTAAAACACCATTGACTACCAGTACTTGTACTGAGCCTAACTTCATAATTGTGTAAGAGCATATGTAAATTAAGTGTGGTATATGAAATCAAATACAGTAATTATGTTTAATTATATCAATAATATTTACCACTTATTAATTTCCAGTAATTCATATCTTCATAATTTCTAATGCACAATATGTTGTCTCAAAACTATAAAAAATTGTGAAACTCATTGACATTTTTCATTCTGTTTTGGTAAATAATTAAAACTAAGTGAAAACAGTAAAGTCAGAAGACAACAAAAAGAAAATCCCAAATCTTTATATGATGAGTTCAAATATAGTCAATGCTAAAATACAACTATGATTGACTCAATCCAACCACTGCCTGAATTTGGTATATCATTTTCCTATTTGAACATTTTGACAATATTTAATAAATTGCTTTTCTTATATCATGGATTAGATAAACAGTTATTTATAATTCGCATGCTTTAAAAATATTAATTTTTACTATTAGTAGGGTTTTTTTTTTTTTTTTGTTTTTCTCTCCTCCTTAAGGAAATTTTACCATCCCTCTCAGCTTATCAATGATACACTTTTTTAATCCTTTAAATGATTTTTTAGCCCACATTCATTTGTAATATGTATCTATATAATTTTTTTTTTTTTTTTTTCTAAGTATGTTTGGTTAAATAATTTAGACATATTATATCTATTTATTTTAGTTTTAATCCTTTCAAGTTCACAAATTAATTTCTTGGTGGTTGTAGAAAATTCTAAAAAAAATTCCAAAATTCCCAAGCACTTTCAATCTCATCTGAAGCTATCTCCAGAGGCTTGCATATCTTCTTTGGATGTTATGCATTAACACTGTAAATTCAAAATTTTTTTTTTTTTCTTTAAGATTTACAACAGCAATCATGGTGAGAAGGCTGACATTTCACTTGAATGATCAATCTCATTTAAAGAAACACGCATGTACACATTGACAGTTTAGACAGATATTAGTTGAAAATACATCAGTGCTTCATCAAGATGATAATAAACAAAAATTGAAAATTCTGGAAGACCTTTATATAAGAGAATTGCAGCCAGAAATAAGTCAACTATAAGTATAACAACAGAGTTCTTAAATG